GCAGTTCCAATAGGGTCTTCGCACCCTTTGGTGCTCGGACCCTAATAATAATCCGAGCAGTTCCAATAGGGTCTTCGCACCCTTTGGTGCTCGGACCCTAATAATAAACCCTAGCAATTCCAATAGGGTCTTCGCCCCTTTTGGGTGCTCGGACCCTAATAAAAACCCGAGCAGTTCCAATAGGGTCTTCGCACCCTTTTGGGTGCTCGGACCCTAATAAAAACCCGAGTAGTTCCAATAGGGTCTTCGCACCCTTTTGGTGCTCGGACCCTAATAATCACAAGGGTTTCAATAGGGTCCTTGCACCGGAGTGCTCGGACCCTAATTACATGAAACAACACACATTTCTGGGAGCGCTCAGCCTGAAACCATTTCCGTATTTCTAGCTCTGCCAACCAATCCCACTCAGAGTCACAGATGTTCTGTGCAAACTGATGGACAGATTTACTTTAAAATAATGCTCTCTCACATATTGCATTATAACTGAAAAGTTATAGAAGAAAATGAAGTGATATTCCGTCTTGAATTGTACTGAGCTTTGTCAGAGATTAAAATAGAATAAAAGGTAATTATAGGAAACAAGCTACTCAAGTAAGCAAAGTTTATTTGGATGTCCTGATACCACATGCATGGGCCCAAACTACCAAAACCTGGCAAAAACAAAACAACAACATCAACAACAACAACAATAACAAAAAAAGCAAATTAGAATAGCAGAAATTTCAGGAGAGGAAAGTGAACAAGATTTCATTCTTCTTTGGAAAATGGCAGTTTCAAGTTGAAAAGAAAGCAGATAGTAGAACATTTAAAAAAGCAGTAGTGGCAATAAAAGGTATTTTTTAAACTGCATAAATAAATAAAATTTCACAAATGATGGCTGCAAATCTGCTGAAACACCATGGAAGTCAGTACAAGTATGAACTGTCTTGTACCTGTAAATTCAATATCATGAAGCTGAATTAGCAGGATCAATTTCAGGGGTCAGTTTGACCCGGCTTCTTCACATGTTAGACCAAACTTTCAGGGACACCACATTTATAATTGATGATACTTTGGTAGCCTATAATAGGCCTCCATAATTGATTTAAAGGCGTTTGTTTTAGCATAAGTCAGTCGCATTTGCTGTTGTTTCCAAATGTATGCTCAGTTTTATCCAAGCATCCACACCCCCACCATCCCCCTCCTCCTCTTCCAGCAACCTACCTGCCCCAAAAGCAAGACGCTCATTGTAATTCGTGAATCCTATTAGGATTGGCCCCAGAGTCGGCCTCTGCTTAGCAAATAAATAATGGTAATGATGATGATCCCTCATCTTGTCACTGGGGCTCTCCCCCGGGGGCCTCGCAGTGCAGGTGGAGGGAGCCTCTCCTGGCCTAATTGGTTCGAACCCTGCAGTCTTCTCTCCAGCCTTTTCCTCCCTCTCCTCCCTCCCTCTCTGCTCTCCCTCCCTCTCTCTCTATGGCCTCGGGACTGACTCGGTAAACTTGTGTTTCTCTTAATGCGTGTGTGTGTGTGTGTGTGTGTGTGTATGTCATCACCATTCTTAATTTTTTCTTGCACAAGCATGAAATCACATGTGTAACAGCAGCACTTTCTCTCTCCTCACATAGATGGATGGACAGAAGTGAAAACACAACACAACCCACACACACACACACACACACACACACAGTCATTTATGTACTGTACTGTGGTAACAGGCTGCCAATATCTTGCCACAGTCTTCCCCTGCGGTGTCTGCTTGGCAGCCAGTTGCATAAACACCTTGAATTGTTTAATAGTGCCAGACAGGAAACTGCTCCTATCTCTATACCTGTCTGTCTCGTCCGTAACTCTGACCTCTGCCCTCCACCGGGCCTATCTCCAATCATCACCCACCTCATTACACTTCCATTTTAAAATAAAAATAAGACGCCGTTTTATATCTCACAAGATTGCAAATCCATTTTGAATGTGTGAGTAATGGAGATTAATAATCACACAATCAGATTAGATAATTGAATTTTGTCATCTCAATGAAAATGGTTGGAAATAAAAAGCGTGTTTTTCTGCAACCGTTATTAAAAGAATCATGTCAGGGTTTTAATCTAGCGCCTCAGAGGTTCTGTCAGGAAATATGAGATTTGATACACATTTGTGCTATTACGTGCAAACACTCACACACATCTGCATGTCACAAAAGCAGAGAATGAAAAAAAGCAAGAGTTAAAAATAAAATATATAAATAAATATATAAATAAATAAATACATTTCTAAAAATAAACTCGGTCACTAAGCTTTGCAAAAGGCCTAAAATGTTGTTTGCTGCTTTGAGGTCTGGGCGAAGAAGCAGCATTAGCATTGTCCCGTGGAAGAGACTTTCTGAAACATATCTCTAAAAATCAATACCTTCTCTGCTAGGCAAAGAGGATCTCTAATATAGTTTTATGTTATTATTTTTCCTCACACATTGCTACATTTCTCAGCAGCTGGCAGAGGGAAGATGGATTTTCTTTTCGACTGGATGGTAAATGTGATTCTGAATGTGGTGGTTCAATGAGATGATGCAGAGCCGGCACTCTTAAAAAGGGATGTGTCACTTTCTGAACGTTCAGAAGTGCAGTTTGACACCTCGCAAAGTTATATTACTTTTTGATGCTGTGTAATGCTGCTCTAACATGTGTTACAAATGATACATAACACATTTAAGGAACTTCCAATATCAGTGGAAAATAACAAACCGTTTGTGGCCTCCAACTCCATTCTTAGGTGTGAATCATAAATAAAGAGATGCAAAGTATTAATACAAACGACAGTTGAGTAAATATGTTTATCTGTGGACAGAAAAACATTTAAATACTTTGGATATGTGGGATTTATTAGGGACCAAACTGGCTCAATTTATTGAGACCAAACTACCATGCAGAGTCACTGGACTCTGCATGGTTTATTTTAGCCCACAGGTTTATTACAAACAGAAATAATACATTTTTTCTCTCCAACAAGGCTGGTATCTGGTTGCCTCTGCAGAGTTGCACTATACACCTGCTTCAAAACTGTTATTAACAATAACCACACACTGGCTCCCTGTGGTGTGTGAAGTTAGTTCAGTGAGAATTTGAGCATGATTTGTTCTATAGCTGGTGCAACAGGGACCTCTGTTGGGTAAAATCATCATAACATGGTAAATGTGCCACAGTTCAGTATATACTCACTATATATAAGTAAAATGTACCAACATATAGTGGTTTGACACAGGGAAATTCTTTTCTCTCTTTGTTGCAGGGGTGCAAAAGCCCCAGAAATACACAATGTTTTTCAGCTCAGTTAAACATTGTTGAAAATATTCCTCATTGTTGCAAAAATCCTCTCCTGAAAGTTTATTTAGACATTTAAATCTTCATCTGTCCAACCATCATTCTACCAAATGTCAATTTCAATACAATTGCTCAGCTCATTAAGCTCTTTTTCCCAATTTTGGCAAAATAACATCTTTAAAATGCTTTACTTTCTAACATAATCTACATAAATCTTTGACAATGTGAAAAACGAGGGGACAAAACAAACTCAACTCGAGCTCAAGTTTCTTGGTTAAACTCCAGCTTTTGAACATGTCATATGGAACTCATAAACTGATTGAATTTGACCTGGGAAAGAGCTCTTGTAAACTTTTACACTGTTTCAAAGAATGGCTGTCAAGCTCAATTTTCAGGTGCCAGAGGTGGCATGTAAAGCCTAAACTTTTATGTTTCCAAAGCAACAGATCAAATTCAATCAGCTGATGAGGATCATCCAATAAAACAGAAGAAAACCAAACAAGTATGTCAACCTTCAGGTAAGATTGTTTTGTATTTGTTTAGAAGTTATAATTGAGCTCATGAGTGCTATTTTTTTGTCATTTACTCATTTTAACTTAAGAAAAATAAATCAGTCTCAAAGTTTACCAGCAGCTGTAAGATTGTAAGTTTGGCTCTTAATGTTGCACCCCAGAAAAAAATAAATTTCTCTTGAACTGAGCAGATTCATTGCCACAGCTTCAAGCTGTCACCCCCTCCATGCCCTGAACCTCTCTGCAGTGCACTCACATGTATGTTTGTGTGTGTGTGTGTGTCTACAGACTCCCACTCCCACACAAAAATATAAAAATCATCCACATTCACAAATCCACTTTTGCAGCTTTCCTCCATTCTGCCTGTCTGGAGTGGCAGGGTCAGGGGGTTGGGGATGACAACATGGCAGCTGTGGTATCTTCCACGCAGTCCTTCAGTGAAGAGCAGCATGAAGCTGAGGCCGTTTCCTGAAAAGAAGTGACCCGTGTCTGAAGGGGTGCTCTGTTGTCCAATCAGAGGACTGGTGAAGCCTGGCAGCGCCTACCTGCTTGGGCCACACTGCTGTTTCCTCTGACAGACAACAGAGAAGGAAGAAGATGTGACCAAGCAAGTCATCATCTGCATCTAAACGGGTGTGAGGGACTGGAAACCAGACAAACAGAGAAATAATTAATGGGAAACTGAATCTATTTTGGAAATATGCTTTGTAAAAGAACAAAAGAAGAAGGATTCTTTATTAACAGTGGTCAGAAGGTGAGACAGCGGGCAGAGATGTATAGAAAATGAGCTTGTGTCTGTCTGTCTCGGTGTCGTGTTATTCAGGTTCATAGTTACCACTAGAATGTCTCCTCGGACCTACAAATGCCATTCCCTGCATTCCTCATCCCTGAGCCGCCCCTCTACATAGCAAACCGTCCCCACAGTGTTCCCTTGGGCTAATTACACTGCACTCAGAGTATCTACAGAAAATAGCTCTCATTTGTTCTCTGACATATGAGGGAAATGAATGCTGTCTTACCTTGGCTAAGACTGACGGTGATAATGAAATGGTAATAAATTCTGCACCCTTTCACAGATTCTTTCTTCTTCTTTTGCACATAATGAATCTGCTTATAACAAAACACAATCAAACAGTGTTCATCTGGAAAAGAAATTCCCAACAAAAGTGATAAGTGACACTGAGCCAGCAGGTTTGATTAATTATATTTATTACCAAATACAGTACACAGTAGTTAGAATTCATATATGCGCTCCATTTGTGATTAATTCACATTTGCTGATGGGCAATGTGAGAATAAACAGTGCCAATATTTACAGAAGGGTCTATATGTCAAATGTTCCAATCAATGAAGCTTTCTTTCCCAAATCATGTAGTTTGGCAAAGTAACACCAATAATCAACAAATACGAGACATCACAAATAAAACTCGAATAAAAATGTTGTTTCTTTTTATGGTGAAACAAATTTCAGACTTGTTTTTGTACAAATTCAAAAGGAATACTCAGAAGAATAATTATTACCTAAATTCTTTTTCAACATTCACAGGAGAATGCCAATTATTGTTGGTAGAAATAACCGTTGGACCAGCAGCACATTAATATTATTATATTTATTTTTAAAAAATGATTTTGACTGCAAAGATACCATCATATTTCTCGTGGAAGTGCTTGGTATAAAACAACAAAATACACAACAATTATTTTATCACCAGGCCCAGTTTTCATGGAGAATTTTTCTAAATGTAGTTTTGCTCACACATACATGATAAAGTAGTTCAGCACAGGCATTTAGAACAATCTGTGAAGGGCAACCTAAAAAGCAGATCTCCTAAAAAAACCAAAACCAAAACAAAACAAAACCAAAAAACAGTAACAATAACTCAGTAATTTTGTCAGACAACATTATAGATTTTTTAAAAACGAAGAAGAAATGTGTGGTTATAATCCAGTTTGTGATAGTAACCTGTGCACAGTCCTGTTCAGAAGTGCATGATCAGAAAAAATGTCACAGCAGATGATAAAACTGACATGGGGCCTGGCCAGATGTTTGCCAAAACACCTGCGGCGCCCCCTTAAATCTCCTGCAGCAGGTTGGTGGGAAAGAAGCCAAGCTTTCGACCTGTACTGACCTTCAGGTAGCCGTTGACCTCCTCACCCTTCTTCACCACAATCTGATGACATGCAAAACAAACAATCTTAAACAGGCGTATATCTTAGCTGTCTTCTGCAAGTGTAGGCCACGTTTTTCTTCATGCATTCCTGCATACCTGTCTGTGTCCCCGTATCTGTATTATGTGGTTCATTAGCAACAACAGAGAGCATTAAACAACTGTGAGCGGGAATAAATCTGCAATTCGGTATTCGTGAGTGTGCTGCGACAGATTTAGATATGCAAAGCAAGTCTCAGCAGCAAGTGAGAACAGAAACGTGCATGTAAAACATGTTTAAAGCCTGTGAGAGGAATTGTGTCACAAGTGAGCAAACAGCAGAGCAAATTAAACAGCGTCAGTTCTAAAATGTTTTATCTCTTCTGTTCTTTCCAAGTCAGGCAGAGCAAATCCACTGATCTCAACTCAAAGCAAAGCATGATCCCTCCACTCTCTGAGTAAATTTATGATACATTGAGTGTGATCCATTGTGATCCATCTTTTGCATCTCTTTTAAAACAGATCAAATACAAAATACCAACATAGATAAATAAGTGTGTTAAGTTTGGATTTTTTGGTCAAATTCGCTATTTCATAACCTCAGACACACAAAATCTATCAAATGAAATAATGCTAATACAGATTTTGAGAAAAACATCAGGACACATCTCTTATATCTCGATTTGCAGATTTTGCTAAAGTCATTGTGCGCAGATTCGAACATTATTCAACTCTGACACCTCTGTTTGGTGGTAGCATAACAATGACATGTCGCCGACAGCAACACATGCTGCTGAATAGCTTTTGTGTCTTCACTCAAGATGCAGGAATTTAAAGTTAGAGTTGAAGTTAACCTATAATGAGGGTTAAATTTAAACAGTAGTGGGGTTTAACAGAAGGCCAGGGATTGTAAATCAGTGAACCATTTGTTTCTTCATGTCAGAGTGACACAGGCTTGTGATGTTTCCAAGCTTGTCACTTACAGCCATCATGTCAACACACATGTATATATGTTCACGAAGCTGGACGGCAGGTTTTTAAAACACTTGTGCATAGAATTGTATTTTTTAATTTTTGTCTTTATCCACTGGATTTGTTTCTAATCACTGCTAAAGGGATGTGCCACTTCACATTCAGTAACCTAAACTTCCTCGTGAGTGTATAGCACACTTACTAAGCACGAGCATCTGTAGGGAATCAATTTTGAATACAACTGGTCAGGCTTTAGGCTGCATGGTATGCAGTATGTGCTTCTGTGTCTGCAAGGATCAACTGTCCCCACAGCTATAGAAAGATATACAAAGACATAGTTCAGCTTTTTCAGTTCTGTATTCCAGTGTGTTGGGCTTCAGCTTGCAGATAAGACTGGGGCTAGGTGTAAATATAGTGGAGACATTTATGGTTTGGTTGTATAATGATATGTCTGTGTAGGAGATTGTGTAAGTGTGCGTTTGTGTGTGTGCGTGTGTGTTAACCTGGTCTTTCTTGAGAGTGATTTGGCCCATCTCTCTGTTACCAACGAAGGAGCGAGTCACCTTGTAGACGTTCTCTCCTGCTCGCACTCGGATGATGTAATTGGCAGGGAAGAACCCTGTTCTCTCTCCGATCTTCCCCTGGTGGAACAAAAGCCTGAACAGTGAGCTGCTGCAGCGCTGGGCTCTAATTTAGATTACTTAGATGGCTCAATTTACACACAGTCATATAGTCCAGAGTGGATTTGAAACCTGAGAGATTGGCATATGATGAAAATAGCTGGATGGATGATAAAGAGGAGCTCTTGTACAATAACCAATTTATATGGAAAACCTGGATGAAGCAATGCAGCCTTAGAAAAAAAGGAATAAATCCTTTCAGCATAGTTTTTACTACAAAATGAGTGTTTGGACAGTAGCATAACTTTCTCTTGGGAAGCTATTGCAGCTACCTGCAGCTGTTTGACATATACAAGGAAGCGTGATCCAGTAGCTGCATTGTCTACTTAGAACCTGAATATGATGCATCAGTTCTGAGAAATACAGCGACTTTTTTAAGTTTGAGAAAATGAAAACAGCAGAAGAGCTCTCCAGCTTGCTTCATGATTTTTACATTTGCTTAACGACTCTATAAATATTTAAAAAACAAAGCTCTCAGGCTGCCGACTTGCAAGTTACGGCAGTTGGACTTTTTTCCATCACATAAAAAACTCACATAATTGTTCTGGCTCAAAAAAGATCATCATCTAATGGCAAAAATCCCAGACCTTGATAATGATCAAAAATCTAATTAATTGATCCTGAAGCCATCTGGCTGTCTCTCAGTAAAAAAAATTCATAGGTTTTGGAGAACACACAGGATTTAAAAAAACAAAAAATAAAAAATCACCTCAATCATGTAAACACTGAAATAATTTGTGTGAGTTGTATGAAAGAAAAACAAAACAAAAACTGGGACTCACCCTCCACCATTCCTCGTTGGAGTCATCTATCACTGTGATGCGATCACCAGCACTTGGGAACAAACAAGATATGAGTATTTTTGGGAGTATTTAAATATCAAATGATGACACAAGCTGGTGTCTGGTGCGAGAGACAGCCAGGAAAAAAAGACAACAGCAAAGAAAGTGATCAAGAGAAACATCGAGGGAGAGAGGAGAAGGTGTGGAGACGCTTACTGAACGTCCAAATCATCCTTTTCTACGGCCTTGAAGCGATACAGAGCCAAGTAGTAGTGAGCCTGACTGAACACGCCGATCTTCCCAGGCTGTGGCTTTTTACTCTGAAAGCACAAGAACACAAAACCTGATACTAACTTCAGATCCTTAATGTTGTTCGTCACTATCATCACTGTTAGCGTTACTGTCACTGTGTGGATGATTATAGCTTTTAAGTCTGTTGTCATTATCGTCATGCCATCATCTTCATCTCCACAGTTGTCAGACCTTATCATCTGCAGGAGCTTTGTCTCCCCTTTTGTCTCCTTCTGTGTTTGCTAATGCACAAAGCGGCAAAAACAAGACAAAAGACAAAGAGACGGTTATTAATTTGACATTTCTATTATTATTCTGAGTACTGTGATGGTAGATAACAAACAGTAAACAGAGAAAGTAAACACAGAGAGATTAAGGCTACTTTTGCTAACAGCTTTGTTCTCACACCTCTTTCACCTCCTTCATCCTCCTGCTTGGGCTGGGACTCATCTTCCTCCATCATCATCATCATCATCTGAACAGTGAGGAACATAAATATATATATTTAAGGTTAGCAAAGACAATGTATGAATAATTGTACAAAAAAAAAAGATTCAAATGAGTTTAGCAGGTAGAATCAACCAGTTCTAGCTAAAATCTACCTAAAAGAAAAAACTAAAAAATATAGTCTGCAAGTGGCTCATAGTGTCTGAAATTGTTTTACATATCTAGTTGGCAATTGCAGAAAGTGGCAGTGTTTTACCATCTTTTAGTAAGCAGGGGACAACATCGGCTAACATGACCTACAAGTTCTAATAGTATTTTAAAGAAAACATTTTAATGTAATGCTCAAAGAACATTTTAAGGATATTTGTTGTTTCAAATAATGTTCCTATGAGGTTAAAAGTGAAGTAAGAGAGAAAATTTTGACATTCTGAGGATGTTATCAGAGTATGTTACATAATAACAAAAGAAGAACAAACCAACATCAAAAAATATTTTGAAGATGTTATCAAGACCTCAGAGGACAGAATGTGAGAAGAAAAGAATTCTACAGCTGTTTTGGGGATGTTGCTGTTGAGAATTGACACAATGTTACTTAATAACAAAGTCAGAATGTTCAGAAAATGTCTGAGGGTTTTTAAAGAATTTATCCTGCCTGAGAAGAAGATTATGGGAACTTAAAGAAAACTCTGAGCTGAAAAAATGACTAGAACCTGCATAACTTTCTTAGAATGTTTCTTAGAATAAAGAAGATCAAACTGGGTTTCACACCAGATCATGTGCAAAAAGTGGCTTTGTGCTGTGTGAGTTAGACGTCTTCCTCGTACATCCACACTTACGTTCTTCTTGTCCTCTGATCCTTTCTTACGCTCCTTGTTGGCCATAATCACACCGACTCGCAACGTCTCAAACACGGGATCAGTGCGGTTTGACTGTGCTGCCAATCAAAATCAGCATTCATTAAACACAGAAATCAGAGATGCAAATAAGTGAGAATGTACAGGCTGTCCAAACACCATCTAATAACGTTAGAACACGACTCTTTTTCTAACAATATCAAATGGTTAATTTGATTTTGTGAATCAGTCTTATTGACACTAGAAAGCCAAGTTTTTCATCTGTGGTCATAAACTCAATACGTGAATTATAAGAAATGAAGTGGACACATCTATGAGCACATTTCTGGCCTATAGCTCTTAATGTAACTGTCAATAGTTTTTGAACTAAAGGACAAATTTTAAATTACAAAGCAAACTCTCCAGGTCGAAGTTACTGCTTTTAGTCACATGGATAAATGTATGTGTGTAAGTGGGACTCACAGAAGGGCAGCAGCTGTGAGACTGTGGCATTCTGCTGACTGCTGTAGAGAGGAGAGCTGTAGGCTCTTCTGAAGCCTGGAGGCTAAAAGAGTAGATGAAGAGGAGGAGAGGAGAGCAGCACATAAACCAAGTCTCAAAACATCTCTGCAGTTCATTTCTGAATCGTAGCCGGTAGCACTCTGTATCTTACTATTTTGCCAAAACACCTCTGGAACTCTACGTAGGACTGGCACTGGTGGTGGATGCTGGTTTTGCAGTTTTTACATCGCAATGCAAACTTATTGTTTACTGAGGAGAAAAAAAAAAAGCAAAAGTAAGTTAAATTACATCAGGAGAACAAACTTTTACAGGCCACTGATCTGACATATATATTTTTCTGTCGTGCACAAAACAAAAGCAGATACGTACAAACAATCATGCGTGCACAGACATCACAAAACTTTGGTTTCTTGCAGTAGTGGTCCTTGAACTTGTGGGGCTTGTCGTTGACTGGTCTGACTGGTTCAGGAGGAGGAGGTTCCTCTTTGTCTTCCTCTTCTACCTCCTCATCATAGATGAAATATACCTGGAAATAAATTTGGTTTTTAGATCATAGACCCAAAGAAAGCAGTTAGAGGTGCTAATAACGCTGCATTTCATGAAACAACTCGATGATTATATCCGCTGTGCAAGTTGTAAACAGGAAGACTTAATTATACAGTTTTGGGATTCCACTTCTCTCTTATGTTTGTCTCTTTATTTAACCCAAACAGTCTCAGTATCCTGAACCACCCACAGCCTGACAGATTTATGTGACAACGGTTCTATTAATACTGTGGTCTGAGTCATATGTAGCCCGTCTGGTCTCACACAAACTGTATCATATCAGCAGGAGCCAGATCCATGAATTATGATTTCAGTGTCAAGATCTTCTTTCTTTCTTTCTTTCTTTCTTTCTTTCTTTCTTTCTTTCTTTCTTTCTTTTTCTTTTTGCTAAAATTAATTAATTCAGTTTAGAAGGTTCTTCAGAGTGTTATTTGGACTCTTTCACATGGAGATACACTCACACAAACCCCAGGTGGGACGTATAGAAAAGAGCTCAAGATCTCAGAATAGCCTCAACAGAGACCGACAACATTCCCAACTGAATGCAACAAAGCTAATACTATATATACAGCCTGGTCAAACAGAGCTACAGGGATGTCACACACATCCATACATTCACAGATTTGTACACATACAACAATTAGAGGGACGCCTGACAGACTGAACTGGCTCTGACTCTCAGTGACTGGCAGGATTAGAGATGTCCAGTGACCGGCAGGCTATGGATTCTCACTACAATAACTGGTAATGCCAAGGATAGTTCACACATTACAGCGCCATCACTCTGTAACTCTATTTCGCGGTCAGGACTCCTAAATAAACCAATGGCTCAGCACATATGTCAGCTTCGAGTTCACTTACAGAAACATACTTAGAAAATTATTCAAGCAAAGAGAGCAGACAAAAAGGTGATGGAATATCTGTCCATTCAGTATGAAAAAAATTACACTTGATAAATCAAATTCACATATGTTTATATTTTTTCTTTCTACTTACTTGTTTCTAGACATGCAGGCAGTTATGTTTCACAAAATTTTGAGATATTAGTCTCTCAGCGGCCTTACTCTTCAGAAATGACTTCTCAGTTACTCTGGAAAATCCTGGAATCTGCTTAACGAAAAACTGCTTTTAGGTATAGAAATATTCTATTATAATCATTAAATATATGTATATTAGGAAATTCCATTTGCACAGATGAATATCTCTAAATCCAGTTATCAAAGTCGAAACGCAATGTCTACGGGAGGATTTGGGTGAACCGATAAACCTTGAATTTATCAATGCGATCTTGTAGTAAGACAATATGATCTGGTAAAAACAATGATTTGTATAAAACATTTTAGTATAAGACACATGTCAGAGAGAGTAAGATTTGAATAATTCCTCGCCATAAATAAATCAGTTTCCCTGGAATGTGCTTTGTAAACGGCCCTTTCATGTGTGTGACACACTGGTATTAGGTGTCTCACCGTGTTGTCCTCTTCTTTCACCACGTTTTCAGGGAGAGGTGGGTTGTCATGAATATCCACAGAGTCCTTGTCATCTAGCCTGTCATCAACAGGTAGCAAATGTCACACTGAGAAGCAAATGTTTGACTGCAGAAAACAAACAGTGGCCTGCCTCACATGCAGGCGTTCACGTTTCTATTTTCTGGTATATAATATGACTTATGTTTGTTTTTGTTTCCTTCTTTGCAGCAATTCAATTGTCTATTTAGACTTATTCCCTTGTTCTTTACAGTTATCTTTGATATTAAGACATGAGAAGCCAGTTTCCCAAACCAGCAAACTGGTAAAACTTGATCTTAAGTGGTTTTAACATCAAACACGAGATATTTCAAGTGAAAAGAAGAACCTTTCAAGATGTGAGTTGAACTTACGAGTCATAATGAGCCATGGTGTGGTTTGGTGGTTGGGGTTTCCTGATATTAAGAGTTTGGGCCAGCAGATGGCACTGTAGATGGAAAACACACAAGCATCATTGCTATAGGTGAAGAGAAGAGATATGTGTCCTCTGTGGGTGTAATAGTAAAGTGATTCCTCTGTTTGGCTTCCAGAGTTTTCAACATTCATTAATGTCCTTGCAATGTGTGAGTTATCAGTGAAGCAACTGGAGTTATCTTCTAGATCCTCTGGAGGTCAGATCTGGGGAGGTAACTTGATCTTAACCAAGTTAAAACAGGACTCACTTGTAACCTGGTACAAGATATATAGCCAGTGCATCTACAGCGTATCTACAGAAGCTTCAGAGGGTTTCCCCTTCTCAGGTTGCTCTACATGTTAGACTTCATGCTCAGGACTTTAACAAGAAAGCATTTAGCAATTCAAAATTAATTAACAAGTGCTTCGCAAGTAATAGTATAGGGTTTAATGATGATTAAAGGAAGGGTAGACAATTATTCTGCAGAACGCTCCTGTAAAAAAACAACAACAACAACAAAAAAAACTGTCAACTGACCGTGAAACTTGAATTCCACTTCTTTTCACAGGGATGTGGCTCTCACACCCTCCCTGCTGTCAGAGCAGGTACCTGCAGCTGGAAACTTCAAAGGTCTCTTTGCAGCTTTTTCTATCAGTCCTGTCGTTCAGTCCTTAACATGCCCAACTTTCCAAATGAGGCTCCAACAGGTGGGAGATTGGGATGAGTAATGCCAGCAGGCCAACCCGGCCCAGCCCTGAATCTGTATGTGCCTGTCTGTGCATCCATGTGACTGTTTGGGACAGCTGAGCGCTTTAAAAGCTGAGAAGCTCCTCTAGTAGAGCGGTAAAAAAACTCGAGTGTTCTGCTACTGGTTCCTTGCTCAGTGAAGTAAAGTGTTGTGTTATGTGTATCACACTGGCAAACTATTTGTGGCCTTTGTCAGGTGACTTGTATGATTTTTACTGAATTTAATAAAGGCCGGATTGGATTAGTGGTTCAGAAGAAATCCAGAAGATGGAACGTTTTTATCAACAAAACAATATAAAGCTCAGTTACATTAACCAGTCTGAATCACAAAATGTGCAACGGCACCAAGAACTTCTCACACACACTGTTTAGTGTTTTATATGAAGCAGGTCGAAGTCTTAAAATCTACACACTTGGTGCCAATAGTAAGGAAAAATAAAAACCATGCACACACAATATACACACAATCCAAACATTTTGGAGCAGTGGAACAAAGTCTGAAGGAGGTAAATTAAATAGAAGAAAATAGCTTAGATGGACATTTTTTTTTTTTGAAAACTGGGTCCCTGCCACGATAAAGTGTTCAAATTTGAATTTGTGTCTGATAAGAAAATATCCATATATGTCTATAAACAATATTTGAGAACACCATTTGTAAAAAATATAGTTCCTATAGGAAAATTGAATCTGTATCGTCATAGTTGAGGCATCAATATGATGCTATCTCTGTACTTCTCCGTACTTCACTCCTCCACCTCTTTTAGATGATGCTTTTGTCTTGTCTCCAGCAAAAAAACAAAAAGCAAAAACAAAACAAAACACTGAGGCTTCTGGTTATATGTTGTTGATGTTATGTCTTTGTTTGGAAGCTACTATATAAGACAACCTAAACTGAGTTATTCGTCCTTCAGATCTACAATTTAAAGTTTGTCCTCATGGTTTTTGTAGAGAAAAGGTCATGTCACCATTAAATACACACAAACACACAACAGGCATTAAAAATAAATAACAGGTGTAAGTCCACAGACCCTTCTCGTCTAATTTGTTTGAGCTTGAATCAATCTGCCAGGACGAATGGAATAAACTTACCAAATCAAGGTGCACAATACCTGCAGAGACTTACCAGAGTAGACTCAAAGCTGTAATTACTGCCTAAGGGCCTTCTACAAAGTGCTGATTTCTGAGTCTGAATACTTTCATACATGACAGGTTGCAGCTTTTGATTTTTTAATAACTCTGTAAAAAAACAAAAAACAAACAAAAAACAACAACTGAAAAAACATGTTTTCACTTTGTCATTATGGGTTATTGAGTGCAGATTGATGGCAGAAAAAGGTAATTTTATCCTTTTAGAATAAAATCTACAACAGTGTGAAAAAGCGAACTTTGCACTGAACTGTCAGTGTTCTCCATTATCATCCTCATCATCAAAACAGCAGGAAATCTTCTGTAACAAGGGTTCACCCCTCTACTGAAGTCAGGGACTTATTGAATCAGTACCAAGGAGCACTGAAACTGGTGGATCTCAGTGGCCTGACACCTTATGAACACACGTCATGACGTTTTTTTGCCATCTGTATATGCACACATGCATGAAACAAGGTGACTAGGTAGTTTGCACTTCAGAGTCAGCTTCAGTGAATTCAAACAATAAACCACATGACACGAAACATGTTTTGATAGATTTTTTCTCGACTTTTATATTTTTAAAAACAAACAAAAAATAACAGATTAAATAAAATTTACAGTAGACATATGCAATCATTGTGCACTTTAACTACTTCTTCTGATACGTTCTGCACAGCTGTCAACGAAAAAACGCAAACACAATGGGGCGTCGGGGTGGAGGCTGGGGGATGTGGGGCAGTTGTGGGAGAGAGAGGACAGAAGAAGTGAGGTAGAGGGCAGTAAGGAGGAAAACAAATGAGGGCAAGAGGAGCAGGGATGAAGAGGGGAGGAATAAAGGATAAAGGAACGCCTAAACTTTGTCACTCAGGGGAAAGAAAGAAAAATCACTGAATATATAGATTTCTTTTATTCCTTACATCACTTATATAAATATATTGAACCCCAAAAAACAAAAAAAAGAGAGAAAAGAAAACTTTTGAGAAAAAAACAGCGCAATACAGAAACCCACAACAGCAGTAAGGCAAACAGAAAGCAAGAGAGGAGAGAGCAGTGACAGAGTACATGAGAAGAACAGAGGAGCAGAGAAAGATAGGAGGCAGTATGAGACATGGCAAGAAAAGAGGTGGGGGAGCAGCAGGGGAAAGCAGAGAGAGTGCGCAACTGTGCGTATGAAAATTTATAAATATGTGAGATTAAGAGACGACTGGGTGACGGAGAGTTGAGGAAGGAGAGAAAGCGCTGGCAGAAAAAGGAGGAAGGGTTGTAGAGCGGAGGGGAGAGGAGGAGGGGGGGGGGGGGGGGGGGGGGGGGGGGGGGGGGGGGGGGGGGGGGGGGGGGGGGGGAGGAGGAGGAGGAGGAGGAGGAAAAGGTTTGACTGAGGTCGACTGTCCAGTGTGTTTTTGTTATGTGCTACGTAACCCTGTTGCCTGCGCTTGTGTGTCTGTTTGTTAACTGGTGTGTGTGTGTGTGTTTGACGTTGCGTGTGTTCTTGTATAATGGCAGCACACATTCCACGGCAACAGTGAAACACATGCTCACGTGTCTTGTGTGCTCTTCTGCTATATAAATACAAAACAAAAACAATGAATAAAAACAAACAACAAAATCATATTTGCAACCAAACACCAGCCACCTCATGATTCACACCTTCTTCCCTTTTATACATTTGACACATCATTTATCTCATCAAGTTTTTTTTGTTTTGTTTTTAAGTTGTACACTAAGAGCAGTCCCCCTCAGTCCTCCTTCCTTTTCCACCATTCCACCAAGTCTCTCTGTCTGTCTGTCTCTTTTACTTTCTTTCTTTCCTCCCCTCTCTTTTCCTTTCACTGAGAACTGGCTCTCTCCAGCACACGCAGGTCATAGTTCTTTTTGGCAGCCCTCAGTTTGAAGAGGCTGGCCCCGCTGTTGTTAAGTTTGAAGGAAGCACTCTGGGCAGCCATGGTGCTGGGAAACACTGCCACTACTGTGTAGAGGTGAGCTGGGTCACTGCCATCGCCCTTCACTCCTCCGGCTCCCATGCAGGCCCCAGGCCCAGCAGCAGCTCCTGGCCCAGAAGGCCCTGCACCAGGACAGGGGCCACAGCCTCCTGGTCCTCCTCGGCCTCCCTGGGGCTCCTTCAGCCACTGGATCTTGGCACCACACAGCGACAGCTGGTTGAAGAGCTTTTCAGCCTCTGGCCGTGAAATCCCCTCTGGCAGGTCTGTTACCTCAAGTACTCGACTCACCACTGGACAAGAGGAAACAAGGAGAGTCAGAGAGAGACAACATGTTAAGCAGGCTTGATTTCCCGAGCTGTATCTTAAGCGACGTGAAGCACTTGTTTCAGAAACACACTCCATGTGTTTTCTTGTCTGTTTCAACTTAATACTTTTTGCTTGAGCACTGCTTGGGGGGAATTACAGTTTGTACAGCCCTGAGGCCAGAGGGATACTCCAAAGGGAATCCAATTAGGGTTACAGAACTGCACTTGAATGCAGTGCAGCAAATACATGTCTTGTACTTGCAGTGATCCATCCTGTATTTAATGGCCTCTTCATCAGACAGGAGTATTTGAGGAAAACAACCACAGAAATATAGGCTGCCAAATTTACAAAACTGTCTCTGCACATGCTTTGGTTTTCTCCAATGTCTCTTCACATTTTTATCCGAACAATACACTTTTCCATGTCTGTGTCAAATCAGACAGAATTCAGGAAACATGTTGCTTCACAGTCTCAGATTTTGTTCAGACTTTATTTGCTATGAAGAGGGAAGGACAATACAAACTTGACATTAAGAGCAACAGATACACTGAAATGGCTGCTGTGAATTTCCTTTCTACAAATAATGTAATGCAAATCCCCTGAGGAATGATGACTCTTCTGCATGGTTTTCCTGTGTTGCTTTTAGTGCAGCATGAATCTCCTGTTTCACTTGTCTTGTTATAGCACTTATGACATGATTCAATAAAGGTGAGATATATTGTGATGTGTATTGAATTGTCATCAGTTTCTCTGTTCAGTGTTCATTTCAAGTATATCTGTGGGAACATTTGGTGAGGTAAAGTATGCCTTATATGCTTTTAAAGTTCAACATGAGGACAATATGGAAGCAACTTGCAAGTTTGCAAATGATGACAATATATAGACAACTATGCACAACAGTTTTTGTGGTCCTACGAATTAACGTCACCATTTTGGCATGTCAAAATATAACACAAACAGAAAATTGTAACCCTGGTTGCCATACATCACATTTTATTGATGTTAGATACTCCAAAAGTTAGTAATATATCAACCAAAGACTGTGTTCTTATAAAAAAAAGTTTCATCCATATGTATACTATTTACTTGACCTCTGCTGGAGACAGTCAATCATTCGGATCTGCTGGAAACAATTTTGCTTTGGGAGTTATATTTCTGGAGATACTGAATCCTTAAAATGGCTATCCAGGTAAAATTATTGCTTTTTTTTGGTGGGTAAAAATAGAAAACGTGACATTTTCAAAATTCTGCCAAAATGTTAAACAACTTAGTTTGCCATCACAAATTACAAATAAGTAAACAGAACTAAATCTGGGGCAGTGGAGCAACATTGCTATCTAAAATGACACAGTGTGACCCAGAGAGTACATCAAACTTGCTATGTGGAAATCTCATAGATCTTTAAAACCACAGATTCTAAGGTTCATTAAAAATACAAGACCACAAGAGAGTGCTTAACATACCTGCAGAAAACGAAACAAAACACTTGCAGATGTTATTCTGGTCTGTGATGATGCCGTTCTAACTTACCTACATCAGTGGTGCCAAGATCTGTGGATGCTGACTTTAGAGTTTGCTTTTTCCCTCGTGCCCCATGTTTCATTACTCCTTGGGCCTGAAAAACAACAACAAATATTATGTGGCGTATCATTACAACGCAGAAACACGCGCACACCAGGTGGGGGCATAAGCATGAGTGGGCACGTTAAACTAAATTCTTTGCTAAATAGTAACACAAACATTAAAACAAACTGCACATGACTGCAGCAAGAAAATGATGAGTCACAGCGTGTTACAGCTTCCATTTGACATTTCTGCAAATGTAGTAACTTTTAGTTACACAACATGCTGTAAAGAGATTTTTAAGTTTGCCATACAGCCCACATTTGATGACTGATTTAAAAAAGTTGATTGCAAGAATTCTATGGTTCTTAGCCAGTCAGTAAAGAATTAAAATTACATTTTCACCCTTTTCACTTTAGGAACAAATAACATATGAAAACATAGTTTGTCTTTTTGTGTTCCTACTGTAAAATAAACATCACTTTTCTTCAGAAACTTTTTTTTTTTTTCCCATTACCACGTCAACAGCCTAAAAGCAAGGTGTAACAGCAGTGTACTGCATTGGTTTTTTTTTACTCCTGAAAAATTTTGTGTTGAAAAGGTTTTGTAGCTGGTGGTATGTTCTTCATTTTTTAACATTTTATTCATTATGCTAGAAAAAGCTGAAACAAACAAGGGCATATCATGGTCAAAATGTCTCATTACTGGGAGCAGGAATCATTAATCAACACAAGATTAATGCACACTGACTACTTCTAAAGGATTCAGAGAGAGGATTCAGTACAAAGGCCTGCCATTACTGACCTGATGGGAGCTGTAGGAGGACTGGCCATGCATGAGGGGGGGAGGACACAGGCTGTACTGGAGGGGCTGCCCCAACAAAGAGTAGCGACCGTCACCTAAACAACACAAATCAGACGTTACAATCAGAATGATCAATCTTAAATCTTTAACTTCAGTACACTATTGTGTCAGAAGACAGGTGTAATTTATTCTCACACCTATTAGGATTCAAAGAACTTTGTTTGTCATGCCAGCTCACATTCACATGTTGTGGTATGAAATAAGTACTCAGGTCCTGGTTTTTAAGAAAAAGCCTAATAAATAATAAGTACAATAAAAACAAGAACAATAAAAACAAGAGCTATTATCCAGCAAGGTCTCATTGACATTCAATTACTTTTTCACAGACCTGGCCAAGAAAGCAGCATATCAGAGTTATAACAATGAATAGACAAGCATATAGTCAACAAAACAAATGGTTAATGGACTTAATCAGTTATGGAATTGTGGAATTGTAAAATGAAAATTTACTTCAAAACAAAACTTGCAATGCAATGAAACCTTCAGCAATGGGTTAAAAGGCTGAATGGGACGGAGTACTATAAGATTTATTCATTTTTGTGTTTTGAAGACAATGGAAAAAACACCTGCAATGAGGTGATGTGACAAGTATTGCAGACTGATGCAAGACCTTGTTTGTACGTGTAATCACACATTCCAAATGGTGGATTTGTTTGTTGATGAACGTACTGTGGCTCTGAGTGTAAATACAGGTCAGAGGACAAAGATGAGGTAAAATCACATGTGGAGGCAGAAGGTTTGACCAGGTGGCATAGTGCCAGTCATGTGAATCTGCTGAGGTGAGGTGACTTGACTATTGGTTAGTGGCCAAAATCCACCTGACAAGGTTCTGAGGGTTGCTGTGGAAGTGGGTGAAAGATCATAAACCTGATGAGGGGGTAAAAAACACAGGTGGAGCAGTAGAACATGTTTATTTATTTGTGTTATATGTGAAAAAATAATTTTGTTTCTGTCTACTTGGTTGTTAGTTTTGTAGTTTTGGTTCTCCTTTCTATCTGCTATGACAGCATTTTACTTTACTGTTATTTGTTAAGACTGGGAAGAGTGAGAACATTGCTACAACCAGGCAGAGTACAATTCAAATAAACACACTTCACAGAACAGATTTCAGCCACAGTACCATAACAACTTATTCTATCAGTAAATCTAAAGTAAGCACAGAAATCTTCTGAAATATCAGATAAAACTTCCAAATTTTAAAGAAAACGTTTGTCTTTATGTATATATTGCAAAAGGTTACACACAAACTGATGGATAATTACACCAGATGGACTAATAATAAAATAATCTGTGCTGGCATTTATTCAAAAAAATACAGTTAATATAGCAAAAGAATGTAAATGATTTTCTGTCTGATCAAGATCCTGACCTAATCAACGCACACAGTTGGTGAGAAAAACATTACAATACAAATGCATTTTTATCTCGCTTGTCCTCTGTAGGCGATCTGTTTAAGTATTTAAAACTTCATTTGTCCTGTTCATACATACCTTGAGCTGATCCTCCTGGCCGGGGAAACTGGGAAATGAGGGGTAATGGTCCCAGGCCTGGACAGACGCTGCTAACGCTGCCGGAGGGAGATGGGGTGGGAGACTGAGTGGGGGAGGCCAGGGGACTCGTCAGCTGGGTACTGGCCTGAACACATCGAGAGAGAAAATAAATAAATAAATAAAAATTATAATCTAAACCTGATCAAGTAGTCTTTATTTGCTCTAGTTAAGAAGACATGTTGCTTGAAAGGGCCTTTAATAATCAAGAGCATCAAAGATGACCACTAGGGGGCGGAGAGGCTAAAGAAAGAAAGAATGAACACTGCACATGAATGAGTGGATATGCGAATTGCAGCCTGAATTGATGAGGTTCTTTCACATTAACAAATAATTACACTGCTTGATTGAGGATGCCTCTGTGCACATGTGCGCACCTGTGGAGTGTTGTCAGGTTTGTAGAGCTCTCCTGGCTTGCTGGGCCTTTGCTCTATGCTGTAGTACTTGCATGGGTTCCACTGGACCAGGGGAGGATTCTGGGAAGGCTGCGGTCCATTGGGGACGCTGAGCTGCATGACCATCACCCCAGGCCCAGGAGGAGGTACTCCTGAGGGAGCACAGACAGTCAGGCTCATATGTAGATAAACAGATGAACAGATGACCAGAACAGCACTAGCATTTCTCTAGTGGTCTACATTTCCCTTTCATCAGAGATAAAGATAAATATTTGATTCAGCACAAAGGTGACTTCAGATTAGCTAATTAACAAGACAGTTTTCTTGTTAAAGTAAATTGTCACATCTAAGTCCTTTACATTGCTTTTATAATCCACATTTAAACATTAAACAAAAATGACAAATCCTGCAGGCACCCATAAGAAGAGGCTGCTGTATTAACAGATACTGGGTAAGTGTCTAGAAAAACACATTTAAGTCGAAATGAAGTTTGATTTCATCTAGTATTAGAAGTAGAAGAAGATACAGTAACAATATTAGACCTGGCACGGGCTACGCTGGTTTCACATTTGGTAAGTTGTCAGACCTTCAGGATTTGCAGTTGAAACAACTGACTAATAACAAAAGACAGTAACTCAACATTTTAGTGACTATAAGGCTGGAAATTTGTGATATGCACCTTTAATGACCTGCAGACAACCTGTAATACACACTACCATGATGGCTGGTTCCCTGGTTCAAGATTACAATGTGGTGTGCCTGCTAGTATATCAACTAAAGTGATCAAATACCAGAAAGTAAACTACAGTCACAGTAAACAGACTTCTAACATTTTGTAAAAATCAAGAACAATGTTTGGGCCTGCTGTTTCAGAGGAGGTGAAAGTTTGTAAACAGACCAAAATATAACTTTTAGGACAAATAACTGACATAGTTGGGTTTCATCCACTGACCAATCAAATTACTCTTTCAACATGTAAACATGACATACATAAATAGAGAAGAGGTTTAATCAACATTTACTCAAGGTAAAATGGGAGCACAATCAAGTTGTGAATATTGGATTTTCCCCGATTTCTTCAAACATTACCTCTTTAGGGACATTGATTTATATGTTCAAAGTATGAACCCCATGTACCTCTGTCTGAACTTTTACCTGAATACCTTTCACCTAATTTAAGAAAGGATAGCTGCAACCCTACTATTAGCCACCATAGGATTTGTAGCTATAACCACCCTGTGCCTACACAGTATTGTAGTGGTAGCATTACAATCACTCGACAGCAAGTCTCACCTGAATATTGCTGCTGCAACTGTTGAGGGTTGCAGGGGGACGGCGACTGTGTAATCTGATACTGCTCAGAGCTGGGAGGCTGCAGGTAACCTACTGACGGGCTACAGGACAGCACACAAACATTGTAAAGGTTAATGCATACATTCACAAGAGGATATGCAAACAACACTGCAAGAAGATTAATAAACAAAATTTCACATACGCAATGTATGTGTAGATGTCATCTATGAGTAAATATCAGATCTGCAAACAATTCTAAGACTAAAATATGTAAATTGTTGTTGTTTTTTTTTGCAGACATAATGGTGGGAAGAATTCTGATACAAAGTAAAGCAGTTCAAATGTCTTACTGTATTCGTGTTTTAGTCGTAACACCATGTGATGTTTATATTTAATGCATTTTTTTTTTTTTTAAAAGGGATGACTATCAAATGTTTGTATGGTCTTGCCAAATCAACTGCATGAAAAGGATGGATTCATACATACCTTGTGCTATTCTGCTGTGTGGGTGTGATAACACTGTAGTAGACAGGCATGGGCCCCTGGACAGACTGGCTGACTGGTACCATCACCTGCTGCTGGTACTGCTGCTGCACCACCTGTTGATTTTCATTGCCCACTGGTACCTGAAAAAAGTGTTATAGGTAAAAAAAATATATAAAGAAACCATTCAGGAAGATGTTATGGTGCTTCTGATGGAATGTTGCCAAAGTGTAACTTCGTGTGTTCTCCTGTTCATCTGTAGTGGAAATATCTTGACTGTAATCCCCTGGTAGCTACTGCTCAGCAGCAGCCACTTTAACCCTTAGGCGTCAGTTTAAAAAAAGTTACACTGAGGTCCTTAAGGACAAAAATGTCTACATCACAAACAATGCCTAAAAACATTAGATGTTCACATTATTTTTCACTTTCATGACTTATCTCTTTTGATCTACATGAGTTCCGATCATAACGACCAAATATTAATTCATTGTCAGGTTTGTAACCCTTTCAATGCCAGTTTGTTTACACAATGTTTCTGTTAAAAAAAATTTAAAAAAAAAAAAGCAGAAAAAAAATATTTCCGATAAAATAAGTGCTAATGGAAACATTCATTGTTTGATTATTGCAGGCTTGGATGACTCAGTGATTAACATCAACATTGATTCTGATGCATTGTTATTTTTTCATGCAGTGTAACATTTAAATGAAAAAGTTACACTCACGACCTTAAGGACGAAAATGCCCCCATTGAAACCCATTGTAATTGCTATTTTTGATCCTCCTGCCATTACATCATTCGGGCAATCTATGTTATTAGGCTTTTATTCTGGAGCTTTGGCTTCAAAATGATATATATTTTTCTTTACTGTTTTCTCCTAGGACCTGTCCAGGGTGTCCCCTGCCTTCGCCCTAAGTTGGTTGGGATAGGCTCCAGCCCCCCCACACCCTCAAACCATTTCAGTTGTAAACATTTTTTTGATTGGCCTGCAGTGCTCTATAATACAGCAGGAAGTGACAAAACAAATAAAGCCTGGATTTGCTCCATAGGCCAAATACAAAAAAATGATACAATCTAGTGGAAAACAGAAAAAACGATAATTTGAAAGCGAAAGCTCCTGATCGTAAGAGTAATAACATAGAATGCATGACTTCATGATGTAACAGCAGAGGGATCAAATTAATAGTTATAATGGGTTTCTATGGGGGACATTTTTGCCCTTAAGATCACAATGTAACAATTTTGTGTACACAGTGTATTATTGATGTATTATGGGGGCTGAGGCTACAAAAAAAAAGAAAAGGACAAAAATGTTCTAATGGGTGCATGAGGGTTAAAAGGCAACATCCTTCTGATGTCTATGCTTCTGGGTTTCTTTGCTCTCTTAAGAAGGTCACAATGTCCCCATGAATTGTGAATGCAGGCCTTAATGGCTGCCAACACACAGGGGTCAGATTTTCTTCACATAGTTCATAAACACACCACACATTAAAGTACACAGGTCAAGAGCAGCAGCTTACCTAAGTTCCTGACCTAATTAGAGACACAATGACCTCACTGAAACAAAGCCAAACCAGTGTACGCCATGGTCAATTTAGATCCAATACGGTCAGATGCTAAAACTGGCTTCAGTATCAAATTTATCAGGACAAAATGTTCAAAATGCTGCATTTTCACAACATTTGCTTAGTGCATTTTTTTGTGAAGCTTGTTGCAGTTTTAGGACTGTAGGATCTACTTAATTATTGTTGATATATTAATCATTGATGTTCATAGTAATCGAGACTAATGAGCACAAAAACACCATTTTGGGTTCATTTAGCTTGAGCTCTTCAACATAAAGTGCTGCCTTTACTTTGCACCAGATGGAGCTGTTTAACTTGGTGAAATAAGCCACGTGTATATGGATAATGGAGGAATTAAAATTTTCAGTTCATCTGGCAAGGCTTACATACAATTCTGCAGTCCTTAATTCATCATGTTTAGAAAAGAATAACAGCAGAACTGCTATAGGTATCTTTAAAAAATGATGTCCTACAGACGACTGAAAACAGTCCATACCTGATATGATGGCATCTGTGGGTACTGGACCATTATGCTTTGCATTTGTCCTCCTATGCCTGCCCTCTGGGAATTAAGCAGACCAGGGTTTTGGGGTTGCTGCACACCCATCATGCCCTGGTAGCTCGGCTGCTGGCTGGGCATCATGGTCTGGAGACCTGATGACAAAAGACAACAATTGAAGAATAACATTTTGAGAGAGTAAAGACAGAGTACAGTAGAAGAGGTTCTATAAGACAGGAAGCTGAGTCTTTGCCTTTGAAAAACAGTACCACAGGATAAATCAAGTATACTTGCAATATAGATTAAGGGGTTTCACATTAACTAAGTGTCAACAAATACAATTTAAATAAACTATGTGGAAGCAAGAAAAATATTACAATCTAAAGTGTTTTAGTTCACACTTTTGGTAGATTTAAATCTTCACCATTACAACATATCTCAAACCAGACAGCAACTTTGGAGTGATGCAAGGTCAGTAAGACCTTAGTGTTCATGAGCTATGTGGATCTGGCAGGCTTCCATCATGATCTGAAGTCCATTTAGATTGTCAACAATGTCTCTCTCTTACTGTATAAACACATAGTCAACCTTCACAAACCACAAATTAAGAGAATGAAGGATGAAGCTGCTATCTGCCAGGGTAAAGTAAAAAGCTCTACATTTGTCTTAGCATATTTGACTTGGCTGGACAATACAGGGACAAGGTTGTTTAAATTTTACCTTTTACCTGGTAGACTTAAAACTGAGCTTGATGTCACAGCTGTTTTTTTTTTGTTTTGTTTTTTTTTGCTGAGGGACGACATAAAACAGCAATAAAATCAAGTGGACTTTAACTACTTCTGGACACATTTTGGACTGTGGCCTGAAGAACATTAACACGTTTTAACTTCACTATATTTTTATTTCCAGACACAGAAAACTGAGGTAGATTTGACAACATAGAGAACTGACCTGACTGTTGTGTGGGCTGAGGCATGGGTTGTGTGCGCTGGGCAGGATAAGACACCTGGTGGGACATAGGCTGGGGCACACGGTACTGCTGGCCTGAGCTGGGATACTGACCAGGAGGGTAGTATGACACCTGTATCTGTTGAGAAACAACAAAAACAACTTAGAGAGCAATAAAAACACAAACAAGACAAGAATAACTATTGCTAAATTACACTGTCTGAGACACTTGAGGACACATTTAAACATTTTATGTAATGTGGTATAGTACAAAATATTATATACTGTATTGTTACATTTTTGTTTTATATTCTGCTCTATTATGTTCGGTCAAAATAGGGTTTAGCAGACAATATTAAGAAATGACAAAATTTTGAAATGACAAGATTAACAAACTACATGATCAAAAGTAGTTTGATTCCGCGACCCACGCCCCCCCACCCCCACCCCGGCGACCCTAGTGAGGATTAAGCGGTGTATAGATAATGGATGGATGGATGGATGAATGGATGGATGGATGATCGAAAGTCTAGATTTACATGATCAGTTCAGTAATAAACCATGCCATGACTCAGGTTTTCAAACCAAATGTTTGTGAAAATGTAAAATGCAAATGATTTCACACATTTTCAGAAATATATAGACTTTTAAATTTAACTAAAGATGACTGCTGTTGTTTCACATGGGAAAACGCACAAAACTCTCTTTTTTTGGACACGTTCATATGGATCCTGCTGCTGTTACAAACATTTTATGAACACAAAGGAAAAGACTCATACAAACAGCTGGAAGCAACAAATTCAACTTTAGCTACTGTTAATATGTATTAATCTGTTACAGACTGTCTTCATGGCAGTAAAGTAATACTTTCTACAGGCATTGCATTTCAATTTGTAATAGATATCTCTGTGAAGTTGTTGGACCAATATTGCTGCTCCAATGGGGAAAAAAAACCTTCTACAAAATGCTTTATACAACTCAGAGTACTGTTGCTGTGTGCGGCTAGTAGTTCAGACTTGTGCCTTGTTAAAAGTGATGCATAAATGTTACTTGGTGTGACCTATGAGACTGTGACTTTCATTGCAAAGTGACCAGTGCGGTCATTTACATATGAAGCTGACATGTTCAGATGATTAATAAATTAATAAAGATCAATAAAAACAAGTTTTCACTCTCCTTTTACCTATGTTTCTGATCTCTACCAACTCCCAAAGGAAATATCTGGCAGCTAAAAGCTCTGACTATAGTTCTGTGTCTCTCTGCTGTTTCGTGTTGGGCAGGTAGTGCACAATCATTTTATGGAGCTTTTTTGCTAAAAAAAATGCTGCAGCCCTATAGTTGAAATTGACAAACTATGAGACTGCTGTGTGTAAATCCAACAATGATGCTAACTGCAGAGTTCCTCTCAGTCTGTGGAGTCCTCAGTGTAACACCTCTTGTTAAAATATTGATTGCAGTGGTTTAGGACAATGCTTACAGAGCTCATGTGATGACACAAGCAAGAGTATTCAATATCAAGCATCCATCAATGTGCAACAGTAGACACAGAGGCGTAAGCGTTGAAGCTTGAACAACTTGCAGCTTATACAACTGGGCTAAATGTAGCATACAGAAATTCCAAATGAGACATCATACGGATGAATAGAAAGGAAGCTGAATGTTAGGAGGATCGATAGTTCCTGCCTCCATCTTCATCTGCATACATGACAACAAATCAGCCCATCTAAAGGCTGCAGCGGTATCAGTATTTGAACTGCTACACTGTCAACCACCCACACACTGAACAACGCAATGCACCTTCCTTTCCCTACCAATACTGTTTACAGAACTACAGAGATCTAAGAGTGAGAACAATATAAGAAGGTGTGTAGGGTGATAAGAGGTATGAAAAGACACAGTCTATACAGGTCAGAGCTTGGAAATCCAGAATAAAAGCACAGCGAATGAAAGCAATGAAAAGTTACAAAACAGTAGACAAGATGGATCAGTTCAGGAATTTTTTAAAAAACTGGTTCTACAGTACAACTATATACAGGCTCTACAACACAGCTATATGTTATCTGATTAAACAACAAGATCAAGAAGTACATGCAGGAAAGTGACATAAAAGGACCACAGTTATTGGGCATAGTAAAATATGCACCTAATTCCAGTAAACCCTCGAATCTTTGTTAGATCTACTGTGAAGAAGTCATTTTGGTGTATTTTGCCAATGCTTTAGATATTACATTTGTCAATCTACTTTTAAGAATTATGACTGACCCCTATTTTCTGTTCTTATAAACACAAAACTATTGCTGGACTGGAAAAAGAAATATGACTTCAGCTATTAAAAACTCTGCTAAACAGACCATCTTCTTTTACAGCTCAGCCTCAGAGAAACATTACAGGATCTAATGTCTCCCACAGGGTGTTTAATGACCAGGTCAATTTAGTTCTCTCTCGTCAAATGAATTATAATAACTACTTTATGGATTCAAGCAAAGGCCTGAGAAAAGGAAGGAAAAGTGTGAGTGACAGAGAGTGAGAGGACTCATTACCGTCACCGCCTCTGCAATCAGAGTGATGTGACAGGCGAGCTGACTGAGACCAAGCTTGTGAAGGTGACGCAAAGCGCTGAGTGCAAGGACCAAACTCCCCACTGGATGAATCCGGCAACACAGTAATCACATCACACCTCATTCACAAGTTTATAGAGGAAAGTTGATGTGTATACTTTATATGAGGTTCAATGTTTTTATACACTGAACTGCTTGGTAAAAGAGTACAATGAGTCATTTTGCAGTCAGAGGTGAGTGGCATACTGACACAGTGATAGACACAATGTAATTACTGTGAGTTGAGCTTGCTGCACCTATTGTCAATTAAACCAATTATCATTTCCTTGTAACTGAAAACTCTTATTCACTAGAAAGCAGTGATGTTCAGTAGGCAGTAATTTCAGTTAATGAAGGTATTATATTTCAAATGCAAACAACACGAAACGTTCCTAAGCTGTGATGCATATCTCTTATTACAATGGTAGTAATAATGGTAGTTTTTCACTCTACACCTTTCCTTTCGAGGAAGATATTTGAGTTTGGTTGCTGTTTTGACCCTTGGCTAATCAAATCTGAGTTCCCTGATAATGCTATGGTAAAAGCAAGCAACTGTTACTGTTGTAGTTCTGTTCCTGGAATTTTTAAAAAACCAAACAAACGAACAAACAAACAAAAAAAACACCACAAGATGACTCATTCAGTGCTATGTGAAAGAAAGCAAAAAAGAATGTCTCCCTGTATCTGTATGTCAACAAAGTGCAGCAATGACCATGCACCACATCCCTTTTCTTTCATCAACTGCCATAAAAACCATATAACACCGGTTCACGGTATGAGAAGTATATTGCATTTTGACACTAATGTACTACTAAATTACTAAATGCATGGCCGATAGAATTAACATATTCAAATTATATAATTCTGTGGTAATCACTGTGATGCCAATTTTATGCATATGTTTTTTTTCTGACATCTTAAGACTGCAAATGGATAAAAACTGGTCCTGTAAGTTAATAACAGTTACATGGCATTCTAGCATTAAGTGCTCAAATGTGCCTTTTCCAAAAGACTTCTAAAACTCAGGACTGTTCTTCAAACTGGGTTGGAAGAGTTCCATTAGTATTAACAGACTAATTATTCACTATTTTAAGTTTTGTCCTCATTTCTCTTGACACGAGTTGGAATTCCTTACCAAATATGAACTGATTCTACATCAGACAGACAACATGCATTGCTTTAATACTATTATTCCAACTATGATGAAAGTGAGAGTATTATGCCCTTAATTAGTTCTCTGCAGGGTAAACATTTGTAACATAATGTATAACTAGGAAAAAAATCCATGCATGTGTGGAATATCACATAATCATTTGCAAATACATTTTAATGGTCCTGTATTTGCAAATTTAGCACAGTCAAATTCGGTTTCTTAGACATGTTGCTTTACAATAAATGATCTAACTCTTGGGTATGATTTGCTGGGGATATGTGCAATTCTAATGTTATTAACAGCTACCCATTCTATTTGGTCTCCAAGGACATCAATTATTTGACAACCTGCAGTGGATGGCATACCTGTTGAGGCGGAGGGGGCTGCATGTACCCTTGTGGAGGTGGTGGGGCCTGCATGACCGGCTGAGATGGAGGAGGCGGTGGAGGTGGAGGATGGGGGTGTCCAGTGGCAGGCTGGTAGCCAGATGGAGGTGGCATAGGCTGACCCGTAGTAGCCATGATGTAGCCAGTCTGAGGCGGGGGATGCTGCGACAGCACCGTGGGAGCCTGATACATCGGGGGAGGCTCAGGGTTCTCACTGGAACCCTGCCGACTCAGTGTCATCTGGGTGAATTGGGGTGCCAGCTCTTCTCCCTAGCGGAAAGGTGAATGATATCATTAGTGAGTTTATGTTTGTGGCTGATACCACAACGTCAGTAACATCTGTGAATTTTGCAGTCTAACTAAGTGAATGCGAGTAATCATCAAAGCCAAAATGTTACAACAGAATTAGTGTAACAGTCCTGGAAAAGATTCTATGTATTAATGTAAGAAATGAATTCCACAAAAAACACATTAATCAACAGTAACATTTGGTCAAGTATGATCAAAAATGTAATAACATTTTTAACCCACATATTAAACCCAGTTTCATCTATTGAGCTTTTTTCTTGCAATGAAGTATATTTTTGCAATTTCCAAACACATTTCTGCATGTATTCAAAAAACATGACAACAGTAACAACTAGTAGCCCAATATTGCTTGGTGAAGTAAACAAATATTTCCACAAAAAACAACCAACCAAACAAACAAACACCCCCCCCACCCAAAAAAACCAAAACAAAACATATATGTATGTATATATGTATGTATGTGTGTGTGTGTGTGTGTGTGTGTGTGTGTGTGTGTGTGTGTGTGTGTGTGTGTGTGTATAAAATTAATCAAGTGTCACAAAGCACACCTATGTCGTGTACCTCTATTTTTTGTAACTTTTTTTTTTTTTAATCATAGGGAGTTAAGTGTACTTTATGACCAACAATAAGTGTAAGTACACAATCATCCTTGTGTATCGGACTGTCTTGCTCTGACCAAGCATTTCCATGATGGTGGTTAAATACTGATTGTATTGACAGCAGGATAAATGTGAGCAAGAGTTTAGCATGAGCGAAGTGGGAAGTGTGAGGGTGTCAGTCTTGATGCAGTTGTAACTGAATTAATTGGAAGAGATGAAGCTATAAGAAGTGCCAGTACCATTGTGTACTGCTGGGGAGGAGAAACTGGCAGGAGAACCTGGGGGCAGGAAGGGCTGGAGTAGGAGACAGGCTGAGAGGGCTGCAGAGACGCCACCGGCTATACACACCAGATAAAGGCGGGAAATAAAGAGGCAGAGCACAGACAGAGTGGAGCAAGGCAGTGAGAAATCAGCATCAGAACCAGATGGAAAGAAGGGAATAAGAGAAATGAAGACATAGGAAAAATGAGGGTTAGAACACAAAGGAAAAGTTGTTAATGAGCAGACAGGATAGTAATGGAGATCATATATAGTTTCTAAATATTAAACTAAAAGTATATATGAAAATAAAATGTCATTACTTCCACGGAGAGACAAACAAAAACGGAAAAGTAATGTCGATCATCTGGCATGTGGTTATTGAGGGTCAAAATGTAATATAATGCCGTACCTTCTCCTTACATATACCCAGATTTCATCCTTACACATTAATCAAATAACCAACCAATGTGTGGATAGATGATCACTAAAGATCTTGAATTCATCATTACTTTCAATTAGATCTTCTGTACCTCAATCAATTAATTTTTACTGGTATCGTTGGTAGTGGAGGTACTTACCTGAGCAATCATGTGGTTGCCCATCGGGTGTTGCTGTGGGGTGGGCAGCAGAGCAGTTTGAGGCGGAGCCTGGGGCGGTGGCTGTGGCTGCTGTGGCTGTTGAGATGGGCAGGGAAGCAGGCTACGGCTGGACTGGGAGGCTGCGGGTGGGGGACACACATCAGGACTGACTAGGGGCAGGCCTAGTGATGCAGATGAAGACATGATGGATACAGAAAATAATTTTGCGTATTAATTTCTACAAAAACATGAGTCCACAAATACATACCTATTCTTTTATTATCCTCTATTTTACAACGTAAGGTGCTTTCAGCCTTGCATCACTTTCTGTTAATCTGATATCAATGTAATGTGCTTGTCTGACTGCATAAATACCCTGCTTATTTTTCCTTTAAATCACAATGGCAATCTTAACATTTCAGTATCACTTTCACTGCTTTCGGATTAACGAAGACAGCAGCAGCACAAGAAGTACAGAAGATGTGCATTTCTCTCTCTAACTCTAAGATAAGTAATATATGCATTTGATAAGTCTGCAAGTTTTATGTATTAAAACAGTTAAACTGTCTAAAACTGAATGAGCCTATTTTAAGCTGTGGAGGTGTTCAGGTTTTAGTCTATATAACTATTTGCCTTCAGAGTGTGACTGGAGCAGAAAAACCCTCTTGAAATAATAATCTGACTGACAGTGTCTCCATGTACTTCCAGTCCTCATACATGCCAACAGCATCGATGAACACATGAACTTCCACCAAAAATCTTTACACCTCATATTTACACTGCATCATATTTAAACAAATAATTACATCCCAGCTTAGCACTTTGTCATTTATTTCTTGAGTACCATCCGATCTTGTAAAACAAGTGGCAGAATAATGTCAAAAGATTACAATTAGGAGATTGAATAATCTTCTTTGTTCTAATCGTAACTTTAACTCATAATGCTTTCTTCTGCTCTTTCCTTCTGCTCACTAATCCATTTTGCACACAAAGTGTCAAACACTGCAGCAGCACCATGCTCTTTCTGTAAATGTGCTGTCATGTCTGAATAAAGGTGCAGGTAGAATTAACATAAAAGTCAAGTAATATAACACAAAGCTGTTACTTCAATGGCTTGACACGACCAGCAAGGTTATATGTTCCTTGTCTGAAAAAGGCAAATGTATAATTACTAAAGCATTAGACAGCAAAATAGGTTTCTCTGCAGTTTATATGGTTTGGGGGTAAATACAGTCACAGATGATTCTTGAATGTTTTAACGTGTACACAAAATACAGAATTGGCATGACACCGTTATTGGCTGTTCATGCCGTTAATGAGTTTGCTCAAGTCAGTTTATGTGTGTAGGTTACAGTAAACCCTTAAAGTGTTTAAATCACACGAGTTTCTAATTACTTGTGTAACATATTTTGCTGTAAGAATATATTCCTAATAATGAAAATGAGTCAGAAGAATCTCAATGTCTCTTCTGCAGAAACTTCAGGCACTGAAAGATTTGCCAAGTAGCTTAAAGTTACTGTTGGCAAAGAATTTCAAAATGAAGAAACTAGACAAATGTTGTTATTTTGTTCACTTCCAACAGCCTGATATGTGAGAATTGGTTCTCCTTTCTGAAATAAAAACCTTTAATAAAGAGTACAATCTTGTTGGATTAATAATATTTTGGAATACTGATTTAGTATCTTCAAAAAGGCTTTATCCAAAACAATACACTGGAACTAAACAGAACATACCTTCATTGTCCACTAGGGTGGATAATTGTCTTTGGCTCACCGATGTATAATAATCATAGATCGTAAAGTAGCCAACACTAACAAAACGACATAAGCTGTGCTTGTTTCACTTGAGGGAAGCAAAGTAAAAGCTCATGTTTTAGATACAAGTAAGCTAATATTAGTCTTATTAACGTACACTAGAGAATTCAAAATGCCTCTCATGTGTCCTCTACTTCAGGCCTTACCAGAACGAGAGCCTTTGCAGCTTCCCTGTGATCCTTTGTTGCTGCCAAGGCTATCCCCCCTGGTAAGGATGGAGATGCCAGAGAAGCTGCTGGCCTTCGTGACGGGTGGCCGGAGGGTGCGGTTGGAGCTATCTGAGTCGGTGCTGCTCCAGGGCCGTGGCTCCAGGCACTTCATGTCACTGTCTGTGCTGCTTTGACGACTGCTGGATGCCCGGCTGGAGCTCTCACGGTTCCCTCTGGGAGAAGACAGAACAGGGAGGAAGAAGAAAGAGAAAAGAGTTGAAATGAGATGGATAAAATGGAAATGGGTGAACACAGTAAAAAACAAAATGAGTTAAAAGGTGGCAAGTGAGAGATATGTGCAAATTAGAGATAGCAGAGTTGGAACATAGGAAATAAGAAGAGGATGAAGAATGGGAAAAAAAAAAAAGATGATGTCACATAGGAGAATTCGAGTGTAGTTGGAGGAAGAAACATAAAGATAGTTAAAGACAGAAAAGGAAAGAGGGGGGAGAGCAAAAGCAAAACAGCAGAGTAAGTTCATCAACACCTGGAGGGGACACACAGTTTGACAGGCTTTGGGATGGGGCATTCGACATAGATGCATATTGGCAGGTTAAGTGTAACCACGATACAAACTCAGGCAACATACCACCAAACAATATCTTCAATTTTTGAACATACGACCACACACACACAAACCCATCCACATGGGAAAACACACATGCAGGGAGAAAAGATGCTCCAAACAACGTTAGGGTGTAAGAGGATATTACAGTGACCCTAGAGAGACAAACGTCCATGAATTGAACACACAAACAACCTAAGACTGTTGACACCATTCACATGAAAGACTTAATGAATGAGCACTTGCAAACATACATGTTATACATTTAAATACAATTAAAACATTAAGACATGCACTTAAACACATGTTGTATAATAAAGACAAGAAATGACAGAAACAAAATACACATACACCCTGTAATTAATACCAGATGTACATAAACACTCAGACAATAAGAGCAGATGTACATCAACACTCAGACTCACACACACTATCTACAAAATAACTTGCTACCACTGGTTCACCACTATGGTTCTTTAAACTATATTGCTGTATACACACTCATTGTGTTGTTGTGATGCTGTCACCCTGGATAAGGGTAGCTGCCAAGAAAACCATAGGTCACACTGTAAGCGTAACCACCACTCTTGGAACACCCCTCCATCACAACTGAATGGTTGGGTCTGCCATTGACATGTCAGCAATAGGAATATTATTGGTCTATTTGAGCCTGTTATATTGTGCTTGAAAAAAAGATGCATTTAAATGAAAATGAAATTTAAAAACTAATGCCACAGCTGTTGTACACACAAAGCTGAATGTAGACAAAGTCTTGCAAGTGAACAGAGAGCTACAACTCTGCACTCAGGATAGCAGAGAAAAAAAGGAACAGCTAGGTCAGCTGTAAACAGATGCTTTTTTCATCCTTAAACCTGGAGCAGGGTTATGAGCAGAGCATGTCCGTGTAGAGAGAACAAGATAAAAATGAATTTAAAATATGTACGACAGATTGAGGGAATCTCCATGACGAAAACAGGGATGTGGTAAGGGTTGTAAAACCCTAGTAATAGCAAGTAGTGTTTAAAGGTGGCTGTGGCTCATAAATATTTCAGAGAGACTGTAATTAATGGAGGATCTATTTTGAGGCCTCTCTCTGCACAGCCTATTTTAAGGAAGGGTGGGTGCGCTGACATTCTCTGTACAGGCAGGCACACACTTGTTCGCTTCGCTCTGCAGACAAAGATGAGAGCAGGATGAGCGGGAGAAAAAAAGAGGAGGGGGGATTCTGCTGTTGATCACATGACATTTCATTTCCACTCTCTCCTCACGACAGCATTTCCCATCACATGAACCAACAGGAAAAGCAGGGACGATAGACTGTTTTTGTTATGTGTTTTGATCACTGTGTCTTTATAGGTGCTAAATTTACTGAAGAGCTTCTTGTTCTGGTTCAATCCACTGAGGTCTGTAATTGCTTTGTTTGTTTAACAGCATGTTAACTTCTAATATACTTAATATGAATGCAGACTTGGGTTACTAAGTTATATAATAAGGAAAATGCCTTAAATAAGATTAACAACTTCAAACATGCATCATTAATGCCATTTTAGATTCCATATCAAATTGTCATGAAATTTCAACAAGCAGCACAAATAAAAATGATGAGAAGGGTGTTTGCAAATATTCATCAAATAACTGGATTCTAAAAGCTTCAAATAAAACTGCAAGTCTAGAACTACACAAGACAAAAAAGGTTGATTGTAGTTTTTAAAAAGCTATAAAAAAAAAAAAAGAAAAGAAAAAGAGGGCAGGAATGAAGACCAGAGTGACCAGATCGTTATGGCAACAACAACTGGGTCAGAACATCTCCGGAAGAGCAAAGTACAGTCGTGACTCGATAATCCGACACTAAATGTAAAACCTTCTTTTATGTCAGATAGCAAGGCTGCTGGATTGTCAAGACGGAGGCTGAGATACAAGGTGGGCTTGATACTTGAAGGGTAATTTGTTGTTAATTATTGTTCATAGTTGTTATAATAACTAGTAGGGCTGGTCCAAATAGCAACTTTCTGGTCTCTGGATATTCAGGTCCAATTAATGATGAATATCTGAATATTGGGCGCGGTGGTAGGGAACGCACAGACAATACTTGGCTGCTGATGCTAGTTCAGGATAGCGGTCACACTTCTGTTTCCACCATCAGTGGCAGCCGCCACCATCTGTGTTTACTTCCGTAAATACTGAGCACGCTCGCTGTGTGTGATGTCGTTGTGTCCTCTTCTGCGCATGCGGGACACTTTTAGGTCGTATGAAGTTCACACAGCAGATCACATACAAGTCGCATTTAATTGGAAATGTAAACGAACTCGCAAAAAAAAAAAAAACGATTTCACAAAAAAATCTGAATTGAGCATTAAGTCCTGCAGTCTGAACGAAGCCAATCTGTCGGATTGTTAAGTCAAATAATACACCTTTATCTTTACTTGTGACATAAAATGTCATGTTGGAGTCGGAATCCAAGGCTGTTTGTGTGATAAGGCTAGTTTTCATGTGTTCTGTTCGTTTTTCCTAAAAACCTGTCGGATAGCAAAGTTTTCGGATTGTTAAGGGTTGGATTATCGAGACACGACTGTATGTTAGGTGTTTATGGTCAGCAGTGGTGAGTCCCTACAGATGGTGGTCAGTGAATGGACAAACCATAGACTGTATAAAAGATGGATGTAGCAACCGGCCCTGAAAAATGAAGCCAACCTGGAAGTGTCAAAAACCTGCAATATCACTACATCCGCTAGTCCTGGCTCCACAAAGCCCTGGCTCCCATAGACATGAATTGGAAAAGAAGTGATCACAGATCACGAAATACCGCATTCCTACAGCTCAGGATTTTTAAAAAAATTAGTTTTCATAGTCAAGTCCAGAGATCAGGTGGCCAATCTGAAAATAAATCAATACTGAATTTTTAAAAAATCGTCAAAATTTTGCAGGGCAAGGGGCATGCCTGGCTTGATTGACAGTTGGCAGCGACCATACAGATGAAGCGAGCAGAAGGTGGTAAACGTGGGCGGGCAGAGAGGGCCTGCCTCTCAATCCGTCTGACCAATCACTGCTCCTATGGCTCCGCTCCCCTCCGACGATTTTTGCGTCACTGGCTCCAAAAATCCAAGATGTCAACCAGGAAGTAGCAAAACCCTGGCTTCATTTTCTCAGTGCAGAAACCAACGGGTGATGCCATGGTAGCTACGTCCATCTTTTATACAGTCTATGGGACAAACTACAAACCGGACAAGGGGTCTTGGGGATGAGCTTGAACAAGTCTAATTGGTGGTGGTGGCCAGCTTCCAACTTACAGTACTTAAAGGATCTGCTGCTAATGTCTAGGTGCCACAGGTTATCTATAGAACTGCTGTGAAGTCCATGAGTTGGTGGGTCAGAGATGATTAGGTTGAAAAGGACCAACTGCATTCAAGACAGGTGGTCATAACATTTGTCAGTGTATCTTTGGGTTCCGACATAAATATGCACCTGTAAATAGTGTCGAACGTTTTTCACTATTATCTGATATTTTATAGACCTAAAAATCAGAGATAAAATAAGAATATGAATCCATAACAAAAATAAATAGCTGCTTATCATTTGCACTCTTAGAAAAACACATTTTATTCAGTTTCATGTTTCTTGTATTCAGATTTATTTCATTGTCCGTTCAGCAGCACTATTGCATGTATGTACTGCTTACAACAGGTGACATGTTAACAAAAACTACAAGACTAGGTCAACCACAAAACAAACAGGTTACTGTGAAAGCGATGCAGTTACTTCATATAAAAATGTAGTTGACGGTGGATGGGTGGAAGGGTAAGTAGGTCAATCAGTCCCCAGTTAAACCACAAAGCAGCCATGCATGGGCCATGGGAAGCCCCACGGTGCAATGCTGGAATAGCCATTAATCAGCAGACTACGCCAAGCAAAGATAATAACCACCACAAGTCACCACTATCATCACCAAACCACTTTCAAAAATGGGCATGGCAACACACAAGTCAGTCAGCAGCACCCCAATACCTAAAGATCTGCCTCCTCTTTTGAGAGCTAGAGCAGTAGCCCTCAGTGGAAAGTCTGTTGGGGTTAACATTAGGAGAAAATGCTAGGGTTACAGGACTGGTTTGGAGAACAGGTGAGGGTTTAGAGAAGGATGAGATAAAGAGGGGTGGGAGGGCAGAGGTAGGTACAACGTAGAACTTTTACCCCTGACAAGAAAAAAGGGAGGGAAAAAAACCGCACACAAGGCAGAAACTTGACTGCTGAAAAGCCCACGCTTTTCTTTCTCTCTCTCTCAGCATATTATGTCCTAATCTTTCAACCTCAATAGCCAGTGTGCTTAGGGATAGAGGCTTACTGTAACTGCTGTGTGAGCTAACTTATTCCTGGGAAAAAAAACCTACTTCTACTACTCACAAATCTTTTCAAAGAAACTGTGTCCCTCATATTAAGTTTCAACATAAAATGCTATAAATACAAGATGTAAAATCTTGCACAGAGAAGAAAAATTAGAAAGTGCATATTGAGCATTTGCCAGGAACTGAAACTGGTAAAACATCTATTAAATAAATGTTATTTCTGTTAATTCTGCTGTACAATCAATTGTTATGCAAGACCACATTTGTCAGAGAGGTCACATTTGTCAGTAAAAATACAGTGAAATTTGTCATATACATAAATATGCATCTATATCTGCCTGCCTTTCATAACTGACACCTCAAAAGTATCTTTAACAGGAGAGGTGGCAAGAAAGGAGTCTTATGTAATACATACACTGAAAACTCCAGAAGGATGTATTATCTTACCTGTTGTCATTGATGTATCCATTTTGAGAGGACTGCAAAAAAAAGGACACCTGCACATTATGAAATGTATTATTCTTCCAGGAGCACATTAGATCCACATTTTTAGCACATCAACCTTGCAAAATTATTAATGTGTGGATTTAGGATTGGGATATGTCACTTAAACTAGCGGTTACATTTAAATAGGTGGTTCCCAATCTTTTTTTTTCATTAATTTATTTCTACTTTCTGCTTTTTAATTGACAAAAACTTCCATTTTACCTCTTCAGACCCGTAGAAATGGATAAAAAGCTACGGTCTAAGAAGAATTATTATTACATTATTTTACATGAATGATGTGTCACTTCTTGTGTGATGAGTACATTCAAGTACAGGTTGCTTCATATTTTGAGGTCACTAGCAGAAAGTACTGGGAATCATAATTCACACCACCAGGAATTAAACAAATAAATTTTTTTATTTATTGTGTTTTTACTTAAAACATACTGAAATTCTCACTAATCAAAGGGAGCTGGAAGCAAGAGCTAATAGGTTAAAAAGTGGCATATGATTTAAAGTTAACCTGTCCTTTTCAGTGCTTCCTACCCTGTCCAGGTTCAATACTTACTTCTCGGGCAAAGATCCGGTCTCGTACCCGCTGATATTCCTCCTCTCGCTCTTCAATAGACTTGCTACGCCGCCCGTCCTGCAGCGGCACACGGATCTAATATTTGGGAAGACAATGATGATGGAAAAAATTAAGCTTACGGACTAAAATGCTAGATTGACAAATATATCCCAAAAAGTTTGTGAAAATACTAATGGAGTCATGCTTTGTGAACCTACTGAAAAGAAAAGTGGAAATGATTCACATACCAACAACAGTAGCATGTGAGAAAGAGAGTATTTTGAGGGATGGAAACTGCGTGGGAAGGTTTCTCACCACAAACGTGATAGAACACAGAACCATACACAGGAATAAGACAAATCTGTACAAGCATTAGGTGCCAGAGAGAGAAGTGTCCTAGCTTTAAACAAATGCTGCTGCAACTAATAAAGCAGACTCAAAAACTTGCTTCAGACATTAACAAAGTAATTAAAACAAATAAAAAAACAAAAACTTTATAATCCCTACATATGATGATCTATCCATTTATGTGGTTGACAATCTAGGGATTTAATACTTACTTCAAAATCTTAGTACTTACTGTTAAACAGTTATGGACAAGAGATATAGGGTTTCTTTTCAAATAAAAAAAAATTTTTTTTGCAATGATGACTTTAATAGCTGATGTACAAAGTTTATTTGTTTATCTTGTGTCATTACCAAGTCTGACAAAACAGTGGATAGATTCTGCAATAAGCACTGCTCCAGTCTAAATAGTCTTGTGGTTCACATTTATAGATAAGTCAAAACATTATGACCACTGCTGCCTGACATTCTGTTGGTCCTTTGCATGCTGCAAAAACAGCTCCCTGTGGTATCTGGCACCAAGATCGCAGCAGCAGATCCTTTAACTCCTGTAAGGGGCGAGATGGAACTACGATGGATTAGACTTGTTCTCGCACATCCCTGAACACATTGTTTCTAATTTATGGCTCGTCACTCCAGTGACCCAAGTCAGAAGGTACTCACCACTGCTGAATGGGAGCACCCCACACACACTGCCATTTTGGAGATGCTCTGCATCAATTCTAGCCATACCACTATTAGCCTTATCAAAGCTGCTCCAGTGCTTACAACGACCAATTTCTCCTGTATCCAAAACATTGACTATGAGAACTGACTGCTCATTCAATGTCTAATGTATCTCAGACCTTGAGATGGGCTGTTGTTATGAGATAGTTAGTGTTATTTACTTCCCATGTGAGTGGTCATAATGTTTTGGCTAATCGCTGTACAGGAATTTAGCAGCAATGAGGGAGATTTTAAATGTACTGAAAATATAAACTGTACACTTTTAGAAGAAACTACAATAATATGGTCTATGAATGGCTTAATAATAGCTAAGTATTCTGTCAGTGTTATTGATACTGGTGCAGAAAAAAAAAGTGGAATCAAGCCATCTCGCGATTTAATGCAAGGAAATCCACACTGCATATATATGCAGTATTAGATGTCTAATCAGCAAATACCTGAAACACATGAGGCTAAACAAGGGTGGACAAAGAAATGCAAATGTTTGGACTTAAATGGACTGAAAAGTGTGGGCTGAGATTTCTCCATCAGTTGTATCTCCCCAGATCTTCTAGATGATTAAATGTCTTTTTATGTGTCCAATCCAATCTCTAGTGGAACAGATACAGTTTCGTACCAACCTGCCAACTGTGTAACTAGAAGAAAGTACACTAATCAAACCCTCTCTTACACATAATTACCATTGATAAATACAATTAGACTCGTTGGTTATTTGTTGCTAAAGTTATTTGAAACAATTAAAGGATTCTTTATAGTCAATAACATAGCTAGGCCAAAATGATAATGTACTACTACTGCTCCCACATCCAGATGCCTAGATTGGGTGTGGTCACACATGGAGTGTTTGACTGACAGTTTAGTGGTCATCAAAAATAGACCTTTCCTCATTTCATCTGATCTGGGAAAGGCAACAGACTAGGGCCCGGCTGATATGGATTTTTTTGAGGCCGATGGTGATATTTGGCCAAAAACATCAACAGATAACCGATTAATCGGCCGATTAATTTATAAAATATATGATGAATAAAATAGTCTCTTTTTTGGTCCCTTAATGCTCACAACAACAAAGATATGAATTACAGGCAGAACATTTTACTGTTTTACAATACTTTGTCCTTTAGTATTTGTTTAACTATACAACAGAGAGGATTGTTTAAGTACAAAAACATGCAACAAAGCATTGAACATCATATGCATCAGTAAAAAAAAAAAAAAAAGTTTTTCAAACAGATATGTCTGTAACATGGGGTATTTTATTTTAAATTTGCATTGTGTATTTGTCTTTCTGTGGAGCATGCATGAATATAGCTACCAGTTGTACTGATGAATTTATCTTTACATTTAGGCCATAGGTGTATGCTGTATATAAGCAACATTACAAGTGAAGTTACTGGCAGAACATTATTTATGCAGCCCTCTGATGCCCTTTAACGTTGAATCACATTTTCTCTACTCCATTATTTTCTTTCCAATGAAGGCATGACCCATATGGACCAAAAGAAAAACCAGAGGATATGTCATCTTTGACAGAGTTGCATTTTAAATATATAATGGTCACAAATAGTCCGACACTAATGTTACTCCATAACAACACACACAGTGAGTTGCTGTTACTGCTACAGCCTGTGTCACGTTATAGTTGTTTTCTGTAGTTCTTTGAAAAACCGTCACAGTGAGCGCTCTATGCGCTGTTTTGGTTTCAGAATTTGCGGCAGAGTGAGCGATCTTACTGCTGTACGTCCATAATCGATCTTAGCTCTTCATCATTTCCATGAGCAAAGTTTGACTTGTTTACAACAAGCAGCAGCAAAAACGGAGCTTTTCGTGGCGTTGCTGAAGTGTTTTTACACGCTTTTGCCTTGGAGAGTATTTGTCTTTGTACAAAATCAAATTGTACAAAATCAATGTACGAAAGCGACTGTGACGCTTAATAGCATTTACTGTTTTATGAGAAATGAAGAATATATCGGTGTTTAATCAGCAAAACTCTGGCCGATGCTGATTATTTTGAAAAGGGCTATAATCAGCCGATTTAATCGGCCAGCCGATAAATCGATTGGACTCTACAACAGACAGCCCAATGTCATCAAATCCCTCTATTTCTGTTAAATTAACAAGATCCACCATGCTGCAGCAGGATAAAGGATGAATTTAAAAAAAAAAGGTCATTATTAAAGATTACATGATAAAGTTTTTATGACTAAAACAAATGATGGTTGCAGCTACCAAACTTTCAAATATTACAAATGAGCCTACCTGATTATCATCTTTGTCCATGCTAGCATCATCTCTCTTAAGGATGAATTTCTTCTGGAAGTCCATATTACGTTCATCCTTGATGTGTTCAGAGAACCTTTGCTCTGGGCTGTAGAGCAGATAGAGGACAAAAGACATGCTTTTAACACATTCAAAACAGAAACAAAAGCAAGGTGAGCGTATAAAATGATTTCAAACTGTAAATATGGCAATGTTAGTGATTCTTAATCTATGCCAAAACAAATTCTTACACATTCATTTGGACAGCTAAGCTGTAAGGCATGTCTGACTGCTGTTGCATCATCAATACATCAACAGAAATGTAGCTTATCTTTTCATTACTATTTCAGCTTTAAACATGCTATTGCTATGCAAGATAAACTGTTCTTCCTTAGAAAATGAAGACTAACAGCTGATTATAATTGGTGAGGGGCCATCAATATGAAATATGATTTTAAATTTTACCCAGCAGCCAAGAAAAAGATAAGAATGCATGGAGATCAGTGCTTTCTAATACTGGTGCAAATGGCAAATTGTACTTGATGGTTTGCATGTCAGAGGTGTTATAGAAAACTTTAAATTGTGCATTTGTAACTGACCATTTGCAATTTGTGTTGGTGGTTTTCCCATAAGCCTCTAGATGAACATCAGTGACTGTAAATTGATTTCCTTACCATTTTTAATTACCATCAAATGATGGTATTGATCAGTGATTTTTTTTTTTTTTTTTTACTCTATTTCTCTCTTTGTCTAAAGTGTCTCAAACTCATACTGTGAAAGGTATTGTGTATACCTTCCATTATGTTGTTGGCTTGAATCTTTAAGCGCCTGTAGGGCCAAAATAAAATCCGTATCTGAATCATTTTTTCTCATATGATACTGATAGTTACAAACTTTCCGTTAAGTTACATGTTGTTTCTCTGGCAGATAGGCACAGGTTGTTCTTCATACCCCTTAAGGTTATGGTTGCTAGATTCTACAGTTGTCTTAATGCTGTTTTTCCTGTGCTGCTACAGTCGTCTCAGCCATGTGGTTTTGTTACTGTGTGTTCCCTTAAGGCTGTGTATTGGAAGTTTATGAGAAAATTGTGTATTAGGTGTGTTTTATTAATTATTTTTAATGTTTTCATTTATTTGCATCCAAATTTTTTGGTACTAAACATTCAAATATAGCAAAAGGCTGAACAGACCGCACTGAGTAGATATACAATACTAAAAAAGCAAACCAAAGTAAGATGCAACCAGTTATGTGTTAAGTAGATTCCCTTTCTGAGTAACTTTAGTATTCTACGTTTGAACTAAAGTCAGAAAGTACACTCACATGCGTGTGTTGCCTGTCTTGTTGATGATGACAGCTTTGCCCGTCTGATCCACATTGTGGTCCATGCCAAAGTAGGCAGCCACGCGATGCAGCAGCATACGGTGATAAGAAGTCATCTGAGGAAACTTCTTATACTGGTTACTGCAAAAAAGAGGGAGCATGTTATTTCAACATAGCATTGCAAAGTATTTTAATTGCTAATTTACCAAGATATTTTCTTTCTTTCTGTTGAACGCAGAACGTTTATTCTACTTTTTTAACATGTAAAACTGTTTGAGAAATAGGGTTATGTTTGTTCTAAACATGAAGTAGCCTCTTTAATAAGTTCAAGTAATTAAAAAAAAAAAATCTGAGTTGTGACTTTGAGAGCAAATTCAAATCCTAATTCATAAGGCTATTAACACTATTTTGGTTAGCTCGAAAGACAGAGTCATAGCCAAAATTACAGTCAGTCTATATATGCCCCATAAGGGATAAATACAGTGTGTCATATACAACTTAACATATTCATCCCATTACCTAAGCAATCTATAAATAACAAGGAATGAATGCAGGAGGGCTAAATTTAAGTACAAGTGAGTGTTACGAAGGACGTTGCTTACTTGTCGTCATTAATGAACTCCAGGATATCTTGTTCTAGTTTGAGCAGCATCATTCGATCCCTGGTGGGCCAAAGGGGGAAAGAGAGCAAGGAGAGAAATCAGTGGGGGAGTGGCTCAGTGACGAAAGTGCAGTAAACATACCACCACTGTACCATTATGATGAGATGCTTGCAAAACTTTTTTAACAAGTTTCCTAAACTCTGCCTGCAGTTTTATTAGTTTTTAAACATCTGCACTCAAAAATCTTACCATTTTTGTTGCTACATGACAACTTTTATTAACACTTTATGTACATGTCTGGACAGGATAAAGGTCGGGACTTATACTTCCATTTCTAAGAAAAAAAATTATTACTTGACAGTAAATACAAAGACCCTTGTGATCTTTCTCTTTAACAGTGTGCACTATATAGTGGTTCTTCTGGATAATTAGGTGATTCGTCCTCATGTCAATGCATGTTGCAGTTCATGCTGCACATTTACATCAATGAGACAAAAATTTTACTTTATGAAAACTAAGAGATGAAATATGTGCTTGTTTTAGTTTATCTGCAATAAATATTGAACTATTGCAACTACTCAATAAAAGCAGATATAATATTGGAATACATTGTTAAGAAAAATATACAATTTAAATACAAACTCTGTTGAAAGTTTATTGATATATTTCTATTGTTTGATATGCCAAAAGACAGTTTTAAACAAATATGTAAATTATTAAATCAACAAATATGAACAAGACAGATCTATCCCACTCACTTCATTTACTGTTGTGCTCTTATAATTTCACTGTGGTAATCATTTTCATACCTGGGATTGTTTTTCAGTGTGTTGACCAGAAACTCGTGAACATCAATGCCCGTGGAGTCAGTGTATTCCTGACTGGAATCTACCAGAATGAGGAAAAACGAAAAGAATCAGGTGAGAAGGAGAAAAGGTTGAAAAAGCTGTGTAAGTGCAAGTGAAACAGAAAGAACAAACTCAGAATGTGCTAAGCATAGCTCTTAAAATGGCATCCCAACACACCAGCAACAACATTCGAGGTTGTTCAAGTAGGATAAACATCAAAAGCAAATAGCATGAGACACCAGCTAGCAGTTCTTCCATGCTACCTCATACACACACACAAACACACTCTTCAGGGGATCATTTTCCACTATTTTCCACTACACTAGACAGTTGGGCTAGCCATTTCATCTCTACTGCTCTCAGTCTGATGACACCTGAGGGCCTCTGCAGAGAGAGACAGTGAGGTAGGTAAATTAAAAAAAGAAGAGTGAGGGACCCCATTATCTTTCAGAGAAATTAGCTTGACATCATATTAGTCTGGCTATTAAAACAAACAGTAGCCATTACATTTGAATGCAATAGTCATGACATGACAAAAGCTTTTTAAAATGCACTAATGCAGGACACGGGCAGCTGACACTGTCATTTAGTACTGACTGTACTTGTGTGCAGGGTTTTCAGTCTTGTGTAGAAGTAAGCATGTCACCAAAACTGATGTTGACACTTTGTATATGAGGACAAGAACAACCAGCTACAAAACAAATCTAATCACAAACATTTATATCTTACCACGTGACAACATCTTTCTGGGAGTCTTATCCTTCTTTTCCTTCTCTTCATTTTCATACTCGTCTTTTGAAGACTTTTCCTCCTCTTTGTCTGACGGACAGCTGATGTGAAGCTGGATGATATCCTGAACAAAACAACAACAACAACAAATGCCATTATAATAAAAATAGATGGCCACTTTTATCATTCTACTGTTGTTTAGCCTATTAAGGACTGTTACTCATACAAAAAACAGCGTTGCAGACAAAAAGAAAAATAAAAAATTGTAGGCTGGGGTGACAGCGTGTTATGGACAAAGGTTATCGTAAATGGTTATGGTTAGAAAAGAGGAAAGGTACCGATTCTGGAGGTCCATCATTGGAGAAGGGACCAGAGGACTCCTCGCACACTGCCAGACTCCGTACGAGCTTCAGTTTGGCATTAGACTGAAACAGAATTTTTATCCAGATTTATGTTGGCTTACACAAAAATGTATTGTTTCCTGTATAAAAGCAAGACAAAAAATAGATAGAAAATGCTAATGCTAATCTCTTCTATCTCTTTAAATAAAAAATTAACAATTAACAATAAAGTTAGTTAATACTAATATTTTAAAGCGCGTTACTACAGTATTTTAGTATCGTTTGTCCCCCCCCCCCCCCCCATCTTTATTCCCTGCAAAAAATCTGTATCAGACTAGAAATTTTGTAGAGAAATAAACAATGAAAAAAAAAAACTATAATCTATCTTCTAACTCTCAATACTGGAGGTGAAACAGGTTGAACAGAGGTTATCCCATCATATATAGCTATGTGTGTAATCTCCTGATGTTTTATATAGGAAGAGAAAATGTTCTTTACTTAATTTTAAAAGTTAAGTCTATTGCTGCAGCTCATACATTTCAGCTATTACTTTGTGTTTTCATAGCACCAGCACAAGCCTAAATATTTCTCAAGTCCTTGTAAGAGTGTAAAGGTTACATAAATCCTGGAATAATGACTGGTAATAGCATTCCCAGAGGAATGGGGGAGGTACTGAACTGAGACACAGAGAACATACAGAGCTTCAATGCATCATAGCTGATAAGTACACTGTCCCTTTGTGGATTATGTACTAAAACCAAGAGCAAACTGAATGACGGACGAGCCAAATTCAAGAAGATGTTTTCACTGTGACGAGCAATTTAATTTAATCCCTTTTACAGACAACATTAAGGGCGGGTTAAGCAGGACATCTTGCGCTCGAAAACACCCCCAAAACACACAGTGATGGGTTTGAACTCTCATGATCAAGTACGACCAACTGCTGCCTTGACATCTACATTTGTGTGTGTGTATACACACATATATTTATACCTCCGTGGAATAAGTAAGGTAAGGTCAATGTAGGAGAGCTACTGTATATTTAAATAATAATTATACATTTCTTCAATTAAAGTCCAATAACAGTAACTGACCAAAAAGTTCATGTTAACAATTAATTTATACAGTGATGACAATTCTGTAAAACTATAAGTGAAGTCTTAATAAAAGTGCGGCTCTACCGTGTCCACATTACTCACTCACCCTGCTGACAAGTCATTTCACCCAAATAATCTTATTTGGCAAAAACCCACATCTATTTAACAAATTTAACTAGTTCAAGTGTATTTTTCTCATAGCCTAACTTAGGTCACTACAAAACACCTACTTTTAAGCCTTCATGGGGCAAGTGACCAGATTTGGTAACTTCCTTGGACATTCAATATGTCCACCTTGTGTCTCTCCTTCAGGTTGAAGAACCAAGTGCACTTTGATTTAGTTTTTACATTAGTGCCAATATCACTACCTTACAAAAAATGTCACTAAACAAATGTTCCAGGCACTTTATAAACGCTTTGTTACTGGTTTGCACTGAACTCCAGCTTGATTTATTTTTTGAGATTAGTGCTAATACCACTACCCCAAGAAAAATGTTCCTAAATGAACTTGACAAGCACTTTATAAATACTTTGTTACTGGTTGTGTTGTGTAAGTATCATTACCTTAAACTAAAATGTTTCTAAATAAATGTTTTTTACAGTTTGTTACTTTTCTTTAATTTATTATAAATTCCCTTTTTTTCCTTAACCGTAGACGGGCAAGTTACCATATATGGTAACTTTATTGATCTTGATTTGCAACATTTTATTTCTTTTTTTTTTTTAAGTCACAAAAGTAAAAATATCTTGAAATATCCTTCAATAACACCCTAGGGTTGAAATTTTCATTTTCCAAGTATTTCAATGAGTGCCCTATATAGGGTTAACCCTCTCATCGGACTTAATATTTTAAGCCAATGACAAAAAGAAGGTGGTCCAGTGTCGTTGACAGGATTAGAAAGTTAATCATGTTAATCAGGTCATCTTATACAACGAACCAGCAAGAGGGTTAGTTCAAGGAGCAAGACTATGAAGTTATTTGGGTGAGTTACAAAATCGCATATTCATCTTCCTAAGTTTAAACCAAACTGATAAATCATTGTCCACAAATGACTTACCTTGGCCCTTTTCCTGCCATGGCTGTGGTTAGGAGCCCGCTTCTGCAAATAGAATTTGTTATTTTACAAATTTTAATAATAAGGTGCACAATAAATAGGCATAATAATTAACTTAAAAATATTTACCTACCAATATATTTGACTATATAAAATATATTAGGTGCACATTAACACATCTGGTAAGACACTGACATCAACAGACACTGTAACAGTAGAAATTTGATTTTGTTTCTTATGTACATATTGTACCTATGAATATTCAAACTATGTGCTGGATTAAAACAATGTAGGGGTGAGTGGAAGTTCCTGCGTCTGTTTTTACATGCAGTTAACGGGTAGCTTTCTCCAGCAGATATCTGACTTCTTGATCTTGTATATACCTAAACAAGTAGGTTTAAAGACATTTGACAGATTTCAGGCCATGAAAGTTTTACTGTGTCAGCAGTGTTAAGGACTGACAGGGATTTCTCAATCAGTGTTAAACAATATCCAAAATTATTATATCTGAAAGCTGGCTAAAACTGAAATGTAAATTTTTTCAGCATGCAATTGTGTGTACAACTCAGACAAATGTGCACAATGAAAAACTAGGTGTGCATCCATCAGTATAAAAACCCTTCTGTCTAACCATCTCTAGAAACACTGGTAAAGAGAAATGGGGATGCATTGTATATTTGTGACTGAAATATTATTGGCAGGTAAACAAGAAAATGTAGTTATTGTTATCATTCTGATAAATACAATAGTGCGAACCACACAGCTGACAAGGGATGCCCCCATGAAACCTGGTTGTCAGTGGTAATTTTTAGATCTCTCTGCTTTTCTCTCAATATCTTTGATCTCTGTGTTGCTGCCTGTTTGCACGAGGGTGGGACTCATCTCACACAGAGCAGAAAAAAATGTGACATCAGAGAAGGGATGTCACGATATTATAGATTTGTTAGTTGGTATTAATACCACTGAATCTCCACAATTTGCCATAAAATAATAAATTAATGAAATGATGAAAATTTAAAAAACTGTAAAGTAGTGCTTCACCATATTAGAAATAGGTGATAGGTGATATTTAGATTTTCTATGATAAATGATGCAGTATGAAAAAATACAGGGATTTTCACCAGATGGCTTTAAGAAATCTATTTGGAAAGAATTAATCATTCTCGAATGAGTGGGGTTATTTTGTAGGTAAATGCATCTGCATCTGTTTAAACTTTTCTAGGCATCCAAAGTAATTTTTTTGCTTTGTGTGGTATTCAGAGCTGGCTTTGGCCACATGATACAAAGCTTCGTGGTGCTATTTTAAATGGTCAAACAAACTGGTCGTGTTGCCTTGTGTAGTGACAACAACTGCAAGGCACTGCTGACAGTATCTGGCTTTGCATACTCAGCATACTTTGTGTAGTCAAAATAGTTCACATAATTATGGCCATAATGGTAATCACGAATATTTCAATCAACATTGAGATTACGATCAGCCTTTTGATGATAATTATTCACTGATTTTAGAGACAAAATATATTTATTGCACTTCTACATTGCACCCCTTTTTACACTCATGTGAAAACCCAACCCTCTCCCTTTAAAGGTCCAATTGTACCTAAAATGCTTCACCTGGTGCAAATCGTTTTTAATTTGTAAGACATGATGAAGAAAGCCATTTTCTTTTATTTTGATGGTCACAGACCCCTGAATTCATTCCCTGTTGCCATGTGTTTTCCCACCTCCTGTCACAGGCACCCGATTCCACCCCCTGTTGTTCATTGTCCCCTTACCTCCGGTCACTTGATTAGCAACTGTATGTTAATTTACCTCTATTCACCTCTGTATTTACATACAGGCCCCCCCTACCCTCTGACTTACCCTATAAATGTGTGACTCTGCAGATGTTCCGTATACCGGAATACTAATAAACACCCACTACAGCAAACTTCACATGAGGACTATGAGTAAAATTTCTTCAACAAATGGTGCCGTGACCCGGATGGCAATATACTTAGGAGGAGACTCTTTTCCCAGACCAAGGACACGCCAGTGACTCATCATTCCAAATTGTATCGAGGTAAGGGATCCTTTTGAAAACCCAATTATGGTCACTGTGTGTTGTCGGAGGTCTGTGGAACTGTAGTCCCAAAGAAGTTGACGCCATCCATGTTTTTGAAGTAAGTTTGCTGTAGGTGGCTGTGAACATGGGGAAAACTAAACAACTAAATTTTAAATTCAGATTGGTCAGTCTCTAAATTGTTTCATTTAAAATAGAAAGAAAATGGCTTTCTTCATCAGACACTATAATTTATCAATGTTCCCACAATGCCTATAATGCAGGTTTCAGTGGAGGCTAGCTCAGTGGCTACAATGCAATGCACAGAGAAACTACAGGCTACAATGCTACAACACAGATAGTTTAAAAGCAGTTATGTTGAGGTAATTTACTTTAACATTTAGCCAAATCCAGCTCCTGTTGTAGCTTTACTTCCTCAGACAGGATTCGGCAGGATGGCCAGACTGGATTTTTACTAGGCGTTGCAGGGGACCTGTTGCTGCACCTGCTCTTGCCACTGCCACTCTGTATGCTGTTGTTACGGTCCAGTATCTCTCGAACCAACACTAACATATATGGTCACCTCCACCAACCTGTGCATCCTGTGGGGAGCTATCATCAGGCTCCAGGCCGTCTCCTGTCCCTTCCTTTGTGCCCTGTGGTTGAGGGGAGGTCTTGCCTCGACTGCAGGGCTCGATAAGTGGCCCACTCTCTCCCTCCTGCTGGATGTCTGTTGTCAGGCTCACTGACATCTTCTTAAGGGAGGGGGAGAGGGTGGAGTGGGGAGGGGGTTGGGTGGAGGACCCAGGAGTGGCTGAGAGAAAAGAGGTAGGAGATAAGAGAAAGAAATTCAAAGCTCTGACAGAGCGAATGCAAATTTTTCAACAATAACCAAAAAACAAAGACCTATGTAGTTTGTGTGTGCAAGTATACATTTACATCATCTACCTGTAGGTGGTACCAGATCTGTGCTGGACTTTGTACTGTGAGTCTGGCTAGGAACCACACACAGAAAGTCGAGGGGAACCCACTAAGGTAGTGTACTGGGTTGGGCTGCAGCAGGGGGCGAAGTGCAGTCCATAGCAAGCCTTAGATTTTGGGGTGGTGCTGTAAGGAAACACAACATAAAAAGGAAAAAAAATGTCCAAACTGTCAAAAAATGGCAAATTTACTGAGTCATTAGTAATTATTGTTCCCTGCAACATAAATATTTAATTATTCATCGTGTTTGTTTTACCACATGGTTAGAATAAACTGCGTCATTTTGGTTAAAAAAAAAAAAAAAAGTTCAGATTATTCTAAACAGATACAAATAATGTAGGGCAAGTACCTACATAGTTGTCTACTAATTTAGGGTTATTGATATCAATTTACAACTAGTAATAAAAGTAAGTTTATTTTTAAAGTAAGAACAAAATGTAAACTACTGTCAGATCTCAACATGACCCAGTGTGACATTTACACTGCCCCTAGTGGCAACTCAACTCTAATGGAAGATACAGACAAGACTTTTTCATCCAAGCGGATGCACTGACATGAGGGCTAGTAAAGGGATGTAAACAGAAGGACCTGAATGAGAAAAAGCATACCCAGGACAACTGCTTCATCATCTCGACTCTTTTCTGCACTAAGGCATTTAAGAGTAAGCCACAACTCTTTCATTCCATTCATAAAAATCTGTTTTAGAATGTACTTTTCTAAAGATCCATTTTGTAATAAAACAAACAATTAAGTATTTTGACGTCCACTTTTCACTTTTGAGTACAAACCTGGTCCAAAAGACACATCTTTAGTCAAATAAGATTAGGAAAATAAACATGCACATGTGAAAAAAAAACACGATATTTACAGCGATCAGGTGAACTGAAGAGGCAGCAGTTAGCCAGCCAGACAAGGGGGAGGGGCACACCAACAGGCCAGCCACCACCTCAGCGGTCCTCTGGGGCCTCTTTCTCTTCTCTCCTCTCTCCCTCCGGCTTAGTGCAGCAGCATGGTCTGTCCTACAGTCAGGAGCCCTGGACACCAAGAGCAGAGGAGGAAGACACGGATGACGTCATGTTTCACACACTGAGTGACTCATCGCTGCTGCTGCTGCTGCCGCTGCTGCTCCTGCTCCTAATTCTTGCAGGGTGGGGGACAAAGCAGTAGAAAGCTCAGAGGCGACTGGTTAAACATTACCATCTAAAACTAGGTTTAATCTGCTAAATTGTTCATTATTGGACTTTGGCATTGGTTAAATAACAAGTACAGTGTGGGCACCAGCTTTTATGAATGGAAAATATGTTTTCTGAGAGAAAGCAAGTTAAAGATGTGGTTTTCCCATTCAAAATTTCTCCCTTGTAGAAAGACGTACCATCGAGCACAGCCAAGTGCACTGAAAATTACTGCCATGTCAACTATAGTTGTATTTCTTTACCTGAGTATCATTAGCTATTACTGCTAGTTAAGAACTATACAGTAATGCACTGCACATGCTCTGACTTTGAGTATTTTGTGTATTAACACCCTTGCCAATATTCTAATGAGGCTAGCCAATATACTGGCATTTCACCATACACCTACGAATTTAATGCAGAACTAGAACCAGATCATAGCCAACATTTGTCTGACCTATTCTGCATTAACTCATCTCCTTTGGTAGAACACACAAAATACATGCATAAAGCATGATTTTTCTGTAAATCCATTGTTGTCCTTGTAAACTCCTCTTAATTTAACTTTCATCACACAAAAACAGCTTATATTTGGGTAAATTATCATCAATAAAAGTGACTACAGAACTAATTATGATGATCTTACTCACATTTATATCCTCTAATGGCATCAAACAAATTCACATTTGGCACATGAAACAGAACTAAAAATTGCTTTGGGGTAAATACTAATGTCTTTAAACATACAGGCACCCAGTCACCAGTGAATAACAATCCATTGGTCGTACAAGCCTATGCTCTCTGTGTCACAGGGTCGAGAACAGCATTATCTGTGCAGCCTTGTTGAAATATAGATGAAAAGTAGCAAATCCTGCATACACACAGATATGCAATAATGATGTAATCACACACAGGCGCGGGCATCGGAAATGTAACGGCTAGCATGTATGCATGCAGCGTGGATGAGTGCCATTCATGTGTGTCCCTGCTTGTACCACAATGCTGTGCTGTTGAATAGATGAGTGAACAAACGAGGCAGGGATTCCCAGTGTGGGAAAGACCCAGGCAATGCAACAGCAAAGGCGTCATCAGCAGCAGTATCAGCAGCATTACACTACATCATTGACAAGGACACCCACATGCCCCAACCCCACTCTGCTTACACAAGTCTACCATACAGCAGCACAGGATACAGCCACACTGTAATGTAGGCATGACTTGTTTTCAAAATGATATCCTCCTTTTGCTTTCTTACAGTGTATTCATGCACACATGGTGCAAATCGTTTGGATTAGAAAGCAAAGATAATCGTTTATCTCAAGTGTCAATCTCAAATCTCATGGCTGAGCAGAGTGTTCTAGCTTAATGACAGGGAGGGGCTGCAGGACAAATTGTGAATCAGAGCCAGTAATAGGGTGCTTATGAATAAACCAGCTTTACCTATTCTCCTCCACCCATTTCTCTCTTATGTTTCCTCAGCTCTCTCATCAACACTCCCCCCAAGCTTCCCTCAACACACACGCACACGCGCGCACACACCAGCCCACAGGGTTGCCAAGGAGATGGTAACGTCATTCTCAACTGCTGCCATTTGTGTTGAGCGAGCAGCAGTGAGAAGGGAAGGGAGAAAAATGATATTAAAAATAAATACATGGATTGCAGTGTGCACAGACTGAGACAAAAGGAAAGACAGAAGCAGAAAGAACCGGGTACGGTGAAAAGGAAAAGGTGAGAGACTAGGATATGCAACTGCGGGTGATCCACCTTCTTTTTAAGCTCAGGCAATCTTAGAATGTAAAACAATGTGGGGTCTCTTATATTCAAATCATGGGACATCGAGTATTAAAGTGTCATATTAGTGCTGCTAAACTGATTAGGTCTCTGAGATGAATACTGAAAAAATAAAAATAAAAAAACTCTTCAAAGACTGCTTCAGTTGCCTTGACCAGCATAAATTAAACAAATACAATGACACTTTAAAACACAAAAATATACACTGATCAGCTATAACATGAAAAACCAATGACAGTGAGGTGTACATTACTTATCTCATTACAATGACATGTTTTACTTGAAAACCTTGGGTCCTAACATTATGTGGACGTTATGTTGACATGTACCACCGACCTAAACATTGTTGCTGACTTGGCATGGCAACAGTACTAAATGATGGTAGCGGACAATGCATCCTACTACACCGCAAAAATTGCGAAGGGTCAGCTCGAGGAACATGATAAAGAGCCCAATGCACTGATGTGTGCATCCTATGAATGCAATAAGCTTGGCGCATAGTGGAAGAAGTTTATAAGACTCACTGTCCAGCTGCACTGAACATTGAATGTGTTTAGTCATTTCAAATGCCAAAAGTGGAAGGCGAAGTGAAAAGCTAGCCATCACAAAATGAGGAAAGGAAGGAGGCATGATGTCCTTTTAACCCTTTCAACACTATAGCCTGCTATACCGGTCTGTGGCTTTCACCCCATTCAGCCCTGCAGACCACTTTACCGGTCTGCCACTTTGATCCCGTCTACCCTGCAGACGGGTATACCGGGCTCTAGTATATGGCGACTTTCTGTTACATTCATTTTAATTGTCTATCAGTGGGAATCCCCGTATATGAACAAGCGATTCAGTCATGAAATAAATTATGCAAAGAATGCCATTTGCTAGCGTAATCACCGCTACCCGTTAGCAGCAGCAAAGAAATATGTATGAAATAAATAATAAAAAGATCTATTGAGACAAGTGCAACAACGTCATAATGAAATTATAACAGTGAAGCCAGAAGTTACATTTCTGCTTAAAACTACACAAAGTAATGCTGTCATTCTCGCTTTAGCCAAAATTGAGGACAAAGTTCACTTGTTCGAGTAAACTTTATTCTACAAAACCCAACAGAGCTTTCCTTAGCTATGCTCAGTGTAGCTAATTGATGCGTACAGTGTAGAGAAGCTGCAGGTTCTAGCCATGCAGAACGGCCAGTCGTGTGGGTTAACACACCATACAAGTTTAATAATTACATGGAAGATTAATGATCGTGTGATCCTTTAAGGTTAACCATACCAGCATGCAACTTAGCTGATAGACCGGTGCACTGACAAAAAGTTCAAGGTGGAACTCGCACTCTAGAATTTCAAGTACATAGACATAAATAGACTTCTGACAGTAACAGTTTGGACCCCAGGGTGTACCAACCCAATTTCACAACGAACCAAACTTCCCCAACTGCACCACTAAACCTCTAGAATTTATTCCTTTAGTGCTGCTCTGATGTTGTTGAAAAATAATGCTGATGGTAATTAGGTCAACACAGTAGTATGGCCTCATGTTGCAACAGTGCTGTAGTATCTAGTCCCTAAGACTCTCCACAACTGGTTAACCAGACATACAAACTTAGCTACATTGTGTCATAATTAGGGCCCGACCGATATGGATTTTTTGAGGCCGATGCCGATATTTAGCAAAAAAAAAAACAAAAAAAACAGATAATTTCGAAAATATATGATGAATAAAATAGCTTCTTTTATGGTCCCTTAATGCTCACAACAACAAAGATATGAATTACAGGCAGAACATTTTACTGTTTTACAATACTTTGTCCTTTAGTATTTGTTTAACTATACAACAGAGAGGATTTTTTAAGTACAAAAACATGCAACAAAGCATTGAACATCATATGCATCAGTAAAAAAAAAAAAAAAAGTTTTTCAAACAGATATGTCTGTAACATGGGGTATTTTATTTTAAATTTGCATTGTGTATTTGTCTTTCTGTGGAGCATGCATGAATATAGCTACCAGTTGTACTGATGAATTTATCTTTACATTTAGGCCATAGGTGCATGCTGTATATAAGCAACATTACAAGTGAAGTTACTGGCAGAACATTATTTATGCAGCCCTCTGATGCCCTTTAACGTTGAATCACATTTTCTCTACTCCATTATTTTCTTTCCAATGAAGGCATGACCCATATGGACCAAAAGAAAAACCAGAGGATATGTCATCTTTGACAGAGTTGCATTTTAAATATATAATGGTCACAAATAGTCCAACACTAATGTTACTCCATAACAACACACAAAATGAGTTGCTGTTGCAGCCTGTGTCACGTTATAGTGTTTTCTGACAAAAGTAAAACTAAGAGTGACATGTTATCATGACGGTTCCTATCTATCTATCTATCTATCTATCTATCTATCTATCTATCTATCTCCTCTGCGTTCACATCACTACTCCTTATCACCTTGGCCTGCAGCTGACGGAGTGATGAACGGTCGTTCTGTGTCAGACTGTGTTGATGAGAACAAGTTAATAAAAAATTAAGTTACTTAAGTTTGTTAAAGAGTTGGATAAAAAGTTTAAAATGTTGTTTTCTGTAGTTTTCTGAAAAACCGAGTGAGCACTCTATGCGCTGTTTTGGTATCAGAATTTGCAGCAGAGTGAGTGATCTTACTGCTGTACGTCCATAAACGAAGTGTTTACAACAAGCAGCAGCAAAAACGGAGCTTTTCGTGGCGTTGCTGAAGTGTTTTTACACGCCTTGGAGAGTATTTGTCTTTGTACAAAATCGAATGGTAAAAAATCAATGTATGAAAGCGACTGTGACGCTTAATAGCATTTACTGTTTTATGAGAAATGAAGAATATATCGGCGTTTAATCAGCAAAACTCTGGCCGATGCTGATTATTTTGAAAAGGGCTATAATCAGCCAATTTAATCAGCCAGCTGATAAATCGGTCGGGCCCGAGTCATAATATGAGTTGTACACTGCAGACTCAACAACTACAATACCAGCAGCAGCACTGCTCTCTGCCTGTTGTGTCCCAGTTCAGTCAGTGTGTTGGTGGGCCTTATGCTGAC